CCAAAGGACTAAATCAGGGGTCCTCAAACTTTTTAAACAGAGGGCCAGGTCACAGTCCCTCAAACTGTTGGAGGGCTGGATTATAATTTGAAAAAACATGAATGAATTCCTATGCACTGCACATATCTTATTTGTAGTGCAAAAACACTTAAAACAATACAATAATTAAAATGAAGAACAATTTTAACAAATATAAACTTATTAGTATTTCAATGGGAAGTGTGGACCTGCTTTTGGCTGATGAGATAGGATTGTTGTTGTGTGCTTTTAAGTCGTTTCAGACTTAGGTTGACCCTGAGCGAGGGCCGGGTAAATGATCTTGGAGGGGCGTATCCAGCCCTCGGGCCTTAGTTTGAGGACCTCTGGACTAAATGAAGCTTACGAGCAGTCTTTAAAGACAACCCCACATAGAGTGCATTGCAGTAATCTATTCGGGATGTAACAAGAGCGTGGACCACTGTGGCCAACTAGCACACAAGTTTTAGGTGTGCAAAAGATCCCGTCCGTCCAGGAAGGACTGGAGCCACTGCAGAACATTACCTCCAAGACCCATCCCTACGAGGCATCCCAGAAGGACTGCCGTTAACATGGTGTCCAAGCCCAAACGGATCAGAGCGACTTTGTCCGCAAAGAACCAAGCAAATGCTTCGCAGCGGGCTGTCAAGTTGTCAGTGATCCATGCTAACGATATCTAGCTTTTATCTCTCTTAATGTTGGATACTTGTCTTCCAACTCATTATTATTGGGGCCAATCCTTACATTTATATTACCCTTTATGTAAAGATGTGAGTTGGGAAATTTACGAGGGTTGAATGAAAAGTAATGCCTCCACCTGCGTAACTTCTCAGCAGATGGCAGTACTGGTATGCAGCAGTTACTGGCTTATTCAGTATACTCTCCTCTACAGTTCCATTTTGGCAGGAAGCCTTAACATTGAACGGTTGTGTTGTTAAAGTGGAGTATGGAACCCTGCGCAGACGGTCGGTCAATGCGACTTAAGCAACGTGCAGTCATTGAATTCTTGACAGCAGAAGGTGTCACCCCAAAGGAGATTCATCAGAGAATGCAAGTTGTTTATGGTGATTGTGTTGATGTGAGTACTGTGCGTCATTGGCGAGTAAGTTTAAAGATGTTGAGTTGGGAACATCTGACTTGCGTGACAAAAAAAGAGTTGGACGTCCTGTGACAGCAACCACCGAGTTTCACAAGCAAAAGATTGACAGATTGATTCAGGACAATTGTCGTATCACTCAGAGAGAAATTTCAAGCATAATCGGCATTTCACAAGAACGTGTGGGTCACATTATTGCTTTGCTTGGCTATTGGAAGATCTGTGCACGATGGGTACCCAGGATGCTGCGCCTAAAACCCGTCCAACGATCCACAGTACTCACATCAACACAATCATCATAAGCAGCTTGCATTCTCTGATGAATCTCCTTTGGGGTGACACCTTTTGCTGTCAAGAATTCAATGACTGTACATTGCTTAAGTCGCATTGACTAACCGTCTGTGCAGGGTTCCATACTTCGCACTTTAACAACACAACCGTTCAATGCTAAGGCTTCCCGCCAAAATGGAACTGTAGAGGAGAGTCTACTGAACAAGCCAGTACCTGCCACATACTAGTACTGCCATCTGTTGAGGAGTTATGAAGGTGGAGGCATTACTTTTCATTCAAACCTCGTAGTTAGCATTGAGAGGACGTACTTATCTAGTTTACCCCAAGTCTCTTTAGTTGGAGTTTTGGATTTGAGCAGTGGAATGTCATGAATAGAGAGCTGTTGGTGTTATAGCTTAATTGAACTGCCCAATGAAGCTACAACATTGGCCAATAGTGAAGTTGACACTAGAACAGCAAGATCCGCCCATAGCACAGCCTTTTGTGCTTAACCGGCTGGAGTTCAGGGAATAAGTTACAAAACCGTTTAGAGCAATGTTTATTTATTTATTTGTTTGTTTGTTTGTTTGTTTGTTTGTTTACCATATTTGTATACCACCCTTCTCAGCCCGAAGGCAACTCAGGGCGGTTCACAGTTGGCAACATTTGATGCCTCAATGTTATCCCACGCGATCTCTTCGATCATCTGGAGAGGCCCTGCTCTCACTCCTGCTGATTGGTGGGGATGAAGGAGAGGGCCTTCTCTGTGGTGGCCCCCCGACTCTGGAACTTCCTAAGGATATCAGGCAAGCCCCCACATTTGGCAGTCTTTAGGAGGAGCCTGAAAATGTGGCTGTTCCAGTGTGCCTTCCCTAAATAAGGAAATAATTCCCAGCAAAATGTCCTCTGAAGCATTTTAACTACTCATTAGGTTGCTCTCCCTTCATTTCTTTTAAAGCCCTCCTACCAGATACATCCTACCTCTGTTCATGCCCAGCGTTTATTTTTTTTAAATTTTATACTATTACATTTGGCCCGGCCATAGGTTTTTTAAATCCTTGCGTGTTATTGTTTATATATGAGTTATATTAATTGTGTGTTTTTTTGTTTTTGTTTTACTTGTCAGGCTTGGCCTCATGTAAGCAGCTCCGAGTCCCTTGGGGAGATGGTAGCAGGGTATAAATAATAATAATTGTTTATTATTATTATCCACAGCCCATGTTTTTTGCAGTAGGAGCACATCGAAGGTAGAGATATAATTACTAAAGTGGCTGCCATTCCATTTATTTGCCCAGCCCACAATGTTCCAGAAGATAATAATAATAATAATAATAATAATAATAATAATAATAATAATAAATCTTATTTCTACCTCGCCACCATCTCCCCGAAGGGACTCAGGGCGGCTAACAAAATACAGCAAAGTGCCGCATATAGACAATACATAAATCTAAAACAACAAAACCATAGAGTTACAATCACGTACATGCATAATTACAATGTAAAACATTAAAATTCATAAAATGCAGCCATAGCTGTGGATAAAAACCCTTAGAAGAGAATACTTCTGGGGCCACTCACATCAATCATCATGGCTAATCTGATCTGAGAATCCCTTTGGATATTGCCTGATATGCCCATTTGCCTTGGGATTAGGTCTGGGGGTCATCAGGGAGAAAACAGGGCCTGGAACTTGAGGATCCAAGGAGGGAATTTCTGTTTGGGATACAGCAGATTTAAGGACTACATTGACACTAGTGGGATAGAGTTTAGGAGGGGATACTCTCGCTTCTCTTCAGATCATATAAATCTTTCGCCGTGGGTAGAGCAATGAGTTAAACCCTTGTGCTGCTGAACTGCTGACCATAAGGTTGGCAGTTCAAATCTGTGGAACTGGGTGAGCTCCCACTGTAAGCCCTGGCTCCTGGCAACCTAGCAGTTAGAAAACATGCAAATCACTCAATAGGTACCATTTTGGCGGGAATGATTGTTATTTACAATAATTCACAATCTTTATAAAGAGACATGGAAAAGTGCCTAAAATAGTTGGTTCTTTTATTTTAAAAAATCAGTAATAAAATATTGCTTGAAATAAATTTTAAAAATGTAGATTCCATGAATATTGATTGCACCATCATGTCTCAATATTTCACTTCCATGGTTATTTACAGTCAGTCATGTTGGCCACACGACTAGGGGGTGTCTATGGACAACACAGGCTCCGTGGCTTGGAAATGGAGAAGGGCATCTACCCCAGAGCTGGAGATGAGCATTGTCTCCAAAAGTCGGAAATGAAAGGAGAAGCCTTTGCCTTTGTCTGTATCTTTGTATCACACTGAATGTTTGCCTGTGTCTGTTTATAGCTGTAATCCGCTCTGAGTCTCCTCCGGGAGAAGGGCGGAATACAGTAGTATCATCATCATCATCATCATCATCATCATCATTATACTAAAGGCTTTTATCTTTCAATTGAGACACAAAGCTATTGATTCTGTATTATTATTATTATTATTATTATTATTATTATTATTATTATTACTACTGTTATTATCTGGCTATTATTTCTCGATTGAGACACAAAGCAGATATTGATGCAGTTTTTAAATATGCAGTGTTATTTATGTTGTTGTTGTTGTTGTTGTTGTTATACTTTTGTTTCTTGATTGACGCATAAAGCAGTTATCAATGCAATGAAATCTGTGAATAATCTCTTCCCAATACTTTCTGACACAAACCTGGCCCACAAAACCCCCACTGTAGACTTGAGAAAGTTAGAATCATAGAATCATAGATTTGGAAGTGACCTCATGGGCCATCCAGTCTAACCCCCTGCCAAGAAGCAGGAAAATTGCATTCAAAGCACCCCTGACAGATGGCCATTCAGCCTCTGTTTCAAAACTTCCAAAGAAGGAGCCTCCACTACACTCCGGGGCAGAGAGTTCCACTGCTGAACGGTTCTCACAGTCAGGAAGTTCTTCCTCATGTTCAGATGGAATCTCCTTTCTTGTGGTTTGAAGCCATTGTTCCGCGTCCTAGTCTCCAAGGAAGCAGAAAACAAGCTTGCTCCCTCATCCCTGTGACGTCCTCTCACATCTTTATACATGGCTATCTCCTCTCAGCCTTCTCTTCTTCAGGCTAAACATGCCCAGCTCTTAAGCCGTTCCTCATAGGGCTTGTTCTCCAGACCCTTGATCATTTTAGTCGCACTCCTCTGGACACATTCCAGCTTGTCAATATCTCTCTTGAATTGTGGTGCCCAGAATTGGACACAATATTCCAGGTGTGGTCTAACCAAGGCAGAATAGAGGGGTAGCATTACTTCCCTGGATCTAGACACTATGCTCCTATTGATGCAGGCCAAAATCCCATTGGCTTTTTTTGCCGCCATCATATTGTTGGCTCATGTTTAACTTGTTGTCCACAAGGACTCCAAGGTCTGCTCTCAAGCCACACGTCCCCCATTCTGTATCTTTGCATTTCATTTTTTCTGCCTAAGTGGAGTATCTTGCATTTGTCACTGTTGAACTTCATTTTGTTAGTTTCGGCTCATCTCTCTAAGTAGTATATATGAGAAACCTGTGTGTTCTCAACCTGGGTCAAGCATTCAGACATTACTCACCTCTCCATGGCTGTGAGGCTGTTGAAGGTGTAGCAAAGTGGGAAGGCGAAGAAATACAAACCGATGGGAGTCAAAGCCGGGTGGAAATGCATGGTTGCAAAGGATGGGACAAGGAGGCTTCACTTCTTGCCAAGTTGGGGATCCAGCTCTTGAAGACCTCTAGCTCCGGGCTTGCAATCGAATCCACTATCCAAAGGATCTGCTCCACAATCCAAAGGTCGGCATAGGCGCCACTGGCAACTGGATTGCACAAGAAAAATGCTTTTCGTTTCATGCTTGGAATGTGTGGATGTGCTTAGGAGTGGTGACAGCTCTCTTAAAAGGGCGACATATCTCTTTGTGGGCCCTACTCCTGGCTGGACATATGGCTTTTCATTACAATTACTCACTCTTAAACTGTGCCCGGTCTTCGAAGAAGGGCCAGCAATACATGAAATCCTGTACATGAATGCCATATTTCTTTGCTTCCAAGATGCACTTTCCCATACATCAAATTCTATTTTAAATACTGCATTTCTTCCATTCTAAGAAACATCTTTTCTCCCATATAAACATGTCTAAAGATGGGGGGCATTTAATATAAAATATAATAAATGTATAATAAACATAATCCTCTCATACACACACACACACATATATATCATATTTAATAAATATATATATATAATCTGTACAATTAGATCACTATATAATGTTGGTAGTACTTCTATACTAAGACACACCTTTTCTGCCATATAAACGTCTCTAAATATGGGGATACTTTAGAATTGAGGTATGTTTGTGTGTATGTATGTGTTATACACACACACACACACACACACACACAAGCCGTCCCCTGCCACACATTGCTGTGGCCCAGTCTGTGTATATGTGTTTTGTGTATGTATATATGTGGTTTTGCATATGCATTGTAATGTATTTTTTATTTTTTGGCTTTTAAAGTCCCTTCTGCTATGTTTTTCAGTGTTTTTATGAGTTATAGTCACTCGTTGGCCTGAGAGGTGTCTTTTGTCCAAATTTGGTGTCAATTCGTTCAGTGGTTTTTGAGTTATGTTAATCCCACAAACGAACATTACATACGTATATATATATATATATATATACACACACACACATAATTAATGTAATTAGATAGCTATATAACGTTAGTGGTACTTCAATACTAAGACACACCTTTTCTGCCATATAAACATCTCTAAAGATGGAAACACTTTATATAATAATAATAAACAAATTATATAATTCTATATATATATACTAGCTTGAGGACCCAGCAGTGCCTCAACAATTTGTAAAATGCATTGTTTGTTTTGGGATGTCAAGTGCCAGATCCAGCATTGGGTTCAGTGAGCTCTTGATAAGGGTGAACTACAACTCCCAGATTTCCAGGGCAATCACCCCCAAACCCCCGCCTGTACACACAGTTGGCCATGTTGGATCTGTGTGCCAAGTTCAGATCTGACATCAGCTGGGTTCAGTGCTTTATGGATGCAGATGAACTACAACTCCCAAAATCAAGGTCAATTCTCACCAACCCCTGCAGAGACAAATGTTTATAATGTTTATGTGTGCATACAATTTATTCATGTCCCGGCATTGAATGTTTGCCGTTTGTATGTTGTGCTCCGTCCTGAGTCCCCTTCAGGGTGAGGGCAAAATATAAATGTTTAAAATTAATACATTAATTAATACATATTTTCAGTTAGACATGGGGCTTCTCTGTGCCAAGTGTGGTGCCCGTCCATTGTTGGTGGAGGTCACTGTTTCTCTGAATGCAGGTGAACTATAACTCTTGTAAATCAAGGTCAATGTGCCTGAAACTTCTCCAGGATGTTCTGTTGGTCATGGGGAGTCTGTGTGCCAAGTTTTGTCCAGGTCCGTCATTCGTGAGGGTATCAGTGGTCTGTTGAAGTTGGAGCTGAATCAGATAAAGGTACTGCAAATCTCATCATCCGTGGTCCATCCTCCCCCAATCTGCACCAGGACACAAAGTGGGGCATGGGGCATCTGCGTGCCAGATATGGTCCAAATCTGTTGAAATTAGAGCCGAATCGGGTGAAGGCACTGCAAATCCCATTGTCTGTGGTCTGTCCTCCCCCAATCTGCACCAGGATGTAAAGTGGGTCTATCAGAACTTAAAGTTTGTTATGTTGGGCAAATTTGCTCTGGATGCATCATCGGTGGGGTTCAGTGCGCTCTATGGCTGCAGGGTGAACTACAACTCCCACTATGGTGGGTCAGTCCCCTCAAACACCTCCAGTAAGTTGAGTTAGTCATACAGATTCTGTTTGGTCCAGGTCTGTCATCAGTGGAGATCCCAGTTTCTCTGGTTGTGAGTGAACTACAATTCCCAGTAAGGAAGGGCAGTTCCCCCCAAACCTCTGCAGTAATCAAATTTTGGCATATCGGGTCTGTGTGCCAGGTTTGGTCCAGATCCATCGGTGTTTGTGTTCACAGTGCTCTCTGGATGTAGGTGAACTACAACTCCCCCAAACCAAGGTGAATTTTCCCCAAAGACCTACAATATTTTTTTTGCTGGTCATGGGGGCTCTGTGTGCCAAGTTTTGTTCGATTCCATCTTTGGAGTTCAGAGTGCTCACTGACTGAAGGTGAACTATACATCCCAGGATCTACAACTCCTATAAATCATGGTGAATTCTCCCCAAACCTCTCTAGTATGTTCAGTTGCTCTATTTGTTGTGTGCCATAGAAAAGAATAGGAAAGGATTAAGGGAGAGGCAGTGGACAGCGTCATGTAAATTCCACACCAATGGAGAGAGTAAGAAACACTGAGATGTCTGTGGTGGAGGAAACACATAAAATCTAGGATGGAATTGTCCCTGGGTGGTGGGCAGAATGGTGTTTGTGGAGGACATTGGCAGGGCTCTTGGACATGTTCGTGGTGCTTGCTATAACCTGCAATGTCATTACAGGGAGGGCCATTGGTGTCTCCTGAGTAGTGGGAGCTATAGCTGTTTGTGGAGGCAGGAGCTTGTCTGTGTAAGTGGACATGCCAGCCATATATACACATACATATTTTCACTTTTATTATGTGTATAGGCAATAGCAATAATAATAATAATAATAATAATAATAATAATAATGCAATTCAAGATACAGTTTTAATGTATTATAAAAACTTGGTGAATGTAGCACTATTTCTTCCAGTTGTTTGAGAGTCTTGGTTAATTGAGAGTCTATATTCCATCTTTTCTAACATGTCTGCAAAAGAGAAAATCCACCCAACAGTCAGCTTGTTTCTATTAGCTTTATTAATGGGTTCATCCAAAGCCAAAAAGCATTAAATCTAACCATCGTTCGTTGAAACAAAACAAAAAAAAAAACCCCAAACAAAAAAGCAAATACATGCCAAAAAACAACCCCTTCAAAATATATGGGGAAAAGAGTGGTACAATTTGGGGCGAAACGAATGGCGTCCGGCTTCAGCAGGGCATTGGATCCGTTTCGGGTTTTCTCTGGGCAAAAACCTGGATTTTGAACCTCAAAATTTGGGGTGGGGAGGATGGGCTACTACTAGCGTTGGCTTTGGGGTCTGCCCTTGATGTCTATGCTCTTATAGAGATGAACTTTGTAGGGAAACAAATGAAAAACATTCCTGTATTTTAAGTGTTTTGGGTTCTTCTTTGAACCCTTTCTCTGAGTCTACGTTTTGTAGCCGGGAAGCTAAACGGATCAGATCCTAAAAAATAATAAACAGAGGGAATTTCAAAGCAAAAGGTCAGGTGGATCAATGTTATTATCACAGTTAACAAACAAACCACAGCTTCATTGGAAGGATCAACACAAAGCCGAATCAGTAGTATGGACGCCGGGGATTGTTCTGGAAGAAAGAAAAAGATAAAGATCGGTGTCCTGCAAGTCTATACACGCTCAGAGGGCAGATCAATGCCAAAAGGAGACAGATAGATATTATCTGCCTCCTCCGTCGAAGGGAGAGCATCAATCAAGGCGAGGCCCCATATTCATTTCATATGGGATTGCCTTTCATCTTGATACAGAAAGGACGCAATGGTTGCTCACCTGTAACTGTGTTTCTTCAAGTGGTCATCTGTGAAATTCGCACATCTCTGCCTGCACAGGCGCAGAAAAAAACTTATGTGCGATTTCACAGGGACCACAATGAAGAATCCGGCTAATATTACTATTATTCTTATCATCTTTATCTCTGTCCCACCTTTCTCCCCATAGGGACTCAAAGCAGACTTCGTTAGGGTCTGCCTTGTCCAAGGTGAGTGCAGATGTCATTTATTATTATTATTATTATTATTATTATTATTATTATTAATAATAATAATAATTTCTATCCAGCTTTCTCCTCTTTATGGTCTGTCTTCTCCAATGTGAGTGCAGATGTCATCTAATAATACAATTATTATTATTATTAATATTATTTCTATCCACCTTTCTCCTCTTTAGGGTCTGCATTCTTCAATGTGAGTACAGATGTCATACACAACAAGATTAGTACACAGCTCAGTGATGATGATGATGATGATTATATATTAATTTCTATCCACCTTTCTCCTCTTTAGAGTCTGCCTTCTCCAATGTGAGTGCAGATGTCATCAATAATCAGTAATAATAATTATTATTATTTCTATCCACCTTTCTCCTCTTTAGGGTCTGCCTTCTCCAATGTGAGTGCAGATGCCATTTGTTGTTGTTAATAATAATAATAATAATAATAATAATAATAATAATTTCTATCTGCCTTTCTCCTCTTTAGGGTCTGCATTCTTCAATGTGAGTGCAGGTGTTTTCTATTATTATTATTATTATTATTATTATTATTATCACCATCATCAACATCATCACCTTGATTTCTATCCCGTCTGTCTGCCTTTTCCAAGGTGTCATTTATTATTATTATTATTATTATTATTATTATTATTATTATTATTAGATACATAACCAGATGAGTACACAGCAAACAAGATCACTATGCTGGCTGTTGTATTGGATCACATTTCAGACACTTCCCAAGTGTCTAGGACTGTGTGATGTATCGGCGAATAATGTGTGCCGATCCAAGTAGGTTGGCCTTTTGCACCTGACAGATGGTCATTTTGTCAGCCCCGATTGTGTTTAAGTGCAGGCCAAGGTCTTTAGGCACTGCACCCAGTGTGCCAATCACCACTGGGACCACCTTTACTGGCTTGTGCCAGTAAAGGTCTTTGAAGTTCGATCTCTAAATCCTCATATCATGTCATCTTTTCCAGTTGTTTCTCGTCAATCTTGCTGTTGCCTAGGATTGCAACATCGACGAACCATACTTGTTTTGTGTATTGTCGAAGGCTTTCATGGCCGGAATCACTGGTTTGTTGTAGGTTTTTTCGGGCTGTATGGCCATGGTCTAGAGGCATTCTCTCCTGACGTTTCGCCTGCACTTTGGCAAGCATCCTCAGAGGTAGTGAGGTCTGTTGGGACTAGGCAAAAGGGTTTATATATCTGTGGAATGACCAGGGTGAGACAAAGGGCTCTTCTCTGCTGGAGCTAGGTGTGAATGTTTCAACTGACCACCTTGATTAGCATACAATGGCCTGACTGCGCCTGGGGCAAACTTTTGTTGAGAGGTAATTAGATGTCCCTGCCTGCTTCCTCTCTGTTGTTGTGCTGTTGCAATTTTAGAGTTTTTTTAATATTGGTAGCCAGTAGAACATACTTGTTTTTCCCCTCACAACCATGAGGTCAGGTGTATTGTGCTCCAAAACTCTGTCATTCTGAATTCAGAAGTCCCAGAGTAGTTTGATATGTTCATATTATTATTATTATTATTATTATTAATAATAATAATAATAATAATAATAATAATAATAATTTTGTCTTCCTTTCTCCTCTTTAGGACCTGCATTCCTTCATGTGAGTCTGGATGTCATCTATCATCATCATCTGTATTTCTATCCTACCTTTCTCCCCATAGGGAGTCAAGGCGGACTTCCTTTAGGCTTATTTAGTGTCTGCTTTCTCCAATGTGAGTGATTTCTATCATTGTTGTTGTTATTAAGCATCTGCGACCTGCAAAAATATTAGTTTCTATCAGAATGCCAAAAACTCTCACCAGTGGGTTGGGCCGAAACCTATAGGCCAGCATCATCCTCTTGCGGAAGGCTTCATATTCGTCGTCCTCCTTACTCAAGTCAGCTGGGCGATCGATCCCAAAACCAGCACCATCGACGGCAGTTACTCCCCTGTTTAAGAGAAAGAGAGGAGACTCTCTGTGAGAGCGGATAGGGAAAAGCAGGCAAAGATATACCCAAACGATTCAAAAGTAGTGTGAACGTACTTGTTGACGGGGGCTTTGATGCCCTGTCCATCGCTGCCCAAGCCATCCCCTTCCTTCCAGCCCATCTTCATCAGCATCTGGTAGCCGATGTTCTCGACCGTCAGCTTGAACTCTTTGTACTCAGAATAATCCGGCTCACGGCCTTCCTGCAAAAAGGGAAAAGACAGAGCGACTCATTAGTTAAGAAGGTGCCATTCAGAATAATAAAGACTCCTAGAGTTGGAAGGGACCCTCAAGGGCCACCCAGTCCAACCCCTTTCTGCCAGAGGGACCGCACAATGAAACAGGAAATAACACTTTCAAGCCAGGAACAGAACACAGTTTTGTGACATAGTGTTATGGTTTGATTGCGCAAACACGTATTTCACGTCTACGTCTCCTTTTAATCGATGTCATCTGTTTTCAACTGAAGCTATGGGTTGTATTTCAATCTGTTGTTCGTCCCTGTCTCGATATGCATAATATTATAATTCCAATTAAGTCGGTGGTTTGGATAGCATTCCAGTTATTCGGGAGGTGTGCCCTACCTTTGCTCAAGGGCTTTGTTTACAAGTATTGAGTCTTTCTTCTCAAGCCCTTAGTTAAAACACCTGGCGTGGTAAACAGGAGCGGCCTTTTTGGCACAGAGAAACTGGGAGTGGAGAAGGGTTTGAGGACACAGGACAGCGACTGCAAGAAGTGTCTAAACCAAAGGGATTGGAAGCCATGTTGTCAAAGGCTTTCATGGCCAGAATCACCAGATTGCCGTGAGTTTTCTGGGCTGTCTGGCCATGTTCCAGAAGCATTCTCTCCTGACATTTCACCCACATTTATTTATTTATTTGCAGTATTTGTATACCGCTTTTCTCACCCTGAGGGGACTCAACGCTGTTTACACATAAGTAATGGCAAAAATTCAATGCCAGTACAAACAGTTACAATTATACACTACAATTAGACATAAATCAAATTAAAAAATACATCCATGAGCAATAAAACAATCATTAAAACAAAACAGTCTCGTTCATCAAATAGCCGTTCCAGTCATTGTCTTTCCGAAATAGAATCATAGAATCTAAGAGTTGGAAGAGACCTCATGGGCCATCCAGTCCAACCCCCTGCCAAGAAGCAGGAACATCGCATTCAAATAACCCCTGACAGATGGCCATCCAGCCTCTGTTTAAAAGCTTCCAAAGAAGGAGCCTCCACCACACTCTGGGGCAGAGAGTTCCACTGCTGAACGGCTCTCACAGTCAGGAAGTTCTTCCTCATGTTCAGATGGAATCTCCTCTCTTGTAGTTTGAAGCCATTGTTCCGAGTCCTAGTCTCCAAGGAAGCAGAAAACAAGCTTGCTCCCTCCTCCCTGTGGCTTCCTCTCACATATTTATACCTGGCTATCATATCTCCTCTCAGCCTTCTCTTCTTCAGGCTAAACATGCCCAGCTCCTTAAGCCGCTCCTCATAGGGCTTGTTCTCCAGACCCTTGATCATTTTAGTCGCCCTCCTCTGGACACATTCCAGCTTGTCAATATCTCTCTTTGAATTGTGGTTGCCCAGAATTGGACACAATATTCCAGGTGTGGTCTAACCAAAGCAGAATAGAGGGGTAGCATTACTTCCCTAGATCTAGACACTAGGCTCCTATTGATGCAGGCCAAAATCCCATTGGCTTTTTTTGCCGCCACATCACATTGTTGCTCATGTTTAACTTGTTGTCCACGAGGACTCCAAGATCTTTTTCACACGTACTGCTCTCGAGCCAGGCGTCCCCCATTCTGTATCTTTGCATTTCATTTTTTCCTGCCAAAGTGGAGTATCTTGCATTTGTCACTGTTGAACTTCATTTTGTTAGTTTTGGCCCATCTCTCTAATCTGTCAAGATCGTTTTGAATCCTGCTCCTGTCCTCTGGAGTATTGGCTATCCCTTCCAATTTGGTGTCGTCTGCAAACTTGATGATCCTGCCTTCTAAGCTTACATTTACTTCTACTGCCAAGCCTGGTCCCAAAACCATGATTTTAATTTTTTTCTAAAACCCAGGAGGGAGGGAGCAGATCTTACCTCATTTGGGAGTGTGTTCCATAGGCAGGGAGCCACAGCCGAGAAGGCCCTGTCTCTCATCCTCGCCAGACGCATCTGTGCTGTTGACGGGAGCGAGAGCAGGGCCTCCCTGGATGATCTTAGATTACGAGGTGGGACGTAGGGGTGGATGCGTTTGGACAAGTAAGCTAGGCCAGAACTGTATAGAGCTTTATAGGTCAAAACCAGCACTTTATAGGTCAAAACCACCATCCATGGCAGGTATCCTCTGAGGTTGTGAGGTCTGTTGGAAACTAAGCAAGTGAGGTTTATTTACCTGTGGAATGCCCAGGGTGGGAGATGATAATAATAATAATAATAATAATAATAATAATAATAATTTATTTATACCCCGCCACCAAAGGGGACTCGGGGTGGCTAACATGAGGCCAAGCCCAAAAATACAATACAGCAAAATAAAATACAAAACAGAAAATTACATCACAACAAAATAAATAAAGTAACAAGATAAAATAAACAGTGCAAAATAACATAATAAAAGTCAAACACAAAGGGTGGGCCAAATGCACAAGATAAAATGATAAAACTCTGGATGAGATAGGAGTAGAAAAGGTGTATTTGTGAGGGAGGAGCCCAAGAAGGAGGAAACAGTGGGGTTAGGCCTTCATTAAAGACAGGGGAAAGTGTCATGAGGATGACACTGTAGATGGGACAGACAGAAATGGGTTATATGGTCACTCTCCAAAGGCACATCTGAAGAGCCGTGTTTTTAGATCTTTCTTAAAGCTGCTAGGGTGGGTGGGTGGGTGGGGGGGCACAGCAGAGAAGGCTATCTCCCTTTTTCCCACAAGTTGTGCCTGTAATGGAGAAAGGGGCGAAAGGAGGACCTCTCCAGAGGATTGAAGAAATCGTGAAGGTTTATGATAGGAGATGTGGTCACATTCAGGGCTTTATAGGCGATAAACCATTCAGGGCTTTATAGGCGATAACCTGCACCTTAAATTGGGATGGGAAAAGGAACGGCAGCCAGTAGAGCTCCTTGAACAGGGGGGCTGAGTGCTCCCTGTAATTTGCCCCAGTTAGTAGTCTGGCTGCTGAACGTTGGACCAATTTGAGTTTTCAGGCCGTCTTCAAGGGAAGCCCCACGCAGAGTGCATCGCAATAGTCCAGTCTAGAAGTAATAAGGCATGGACCACTGTGGTCAAGTCAGACTTCACGAGGTATGGTCGCAGCTGGCACACAAGTTTTAATTGTGCAAAGGGCCTCCCAGCCACCGCCGACACCTGTGCACCAAGCGTCAGTCCTGAGTCCAGGAGGACCCCCAAGCTGTGGACCTGTGCAATCCCATCAAGCACAGGTTGCCACCCCATACCCCGGTCAGAAGTACGACTGACCTGGTGGACCTCTGTCTAGTCGGGATTGATCTTCCGCTTGTTCGCCCTCATCCAGATCGACACAGCAGCCAGGCACAGTATTGGCTTCCTTGGATTCCGGTGGAAAAGAGTAGTGGAGTTGGGTGTCATCCACGTAGAAATGGCACCCAACTCCAAAACTCCAGATGACCTCTCCCAGAGGTTTCATGTAGATGTTAAATAGCACGGGGGACAGAATGGAACCTTGTGGGATCCCACAGGTAAATGGCCAGGGCTCCGAGCAGGTGTCCCCCAGCTTCACCAACTGGGAATGGCCTTCCAGGATGGACTGGAACCACAGCAGAGCCGTGCCCCTGAGTCCCGGCCCAGAAGGATACCATGATCGATGGTATCAAAAGCCGCTGAGTTGTCCAAGAGAACCAGAAGGGTCACACTCCCCCTGTCCAGTTCCCTGCGGAGGTCATCCACCAAGGTGACCAAAGCTGTGTCGGTACTGTGCCCAGGCCTGAAACCAGACTGTGATTGATCTAGAAAATCAGTCGCATCTAGGAATCCCTGGAGCTGTGAGGTGACCACCCGCTCCAGCAACTTGCCCCAAAAAGGGAGGTTGGAAATTAGTCTGTAGTTGTTAAGCACGGAAGGGTCAAGGGCACTCTTTTTCAGTAATGGTTTTACCACCGCCTGCTTAAAGCAGGACGGGAATTTCCCTTGGCCCAACAAAGCATTTTTTATGGAGGCAAACCAGTCCAGCAACCCATCTCTGGCCAGTTTAACTAGCCAGGAAGGGCAAGGGTCCAGAGCACAAGTGGTCGTTCTCACAGCCCCAAGGATCCCGTCCACGTCATCAGGTAGAACAAGACAAAAAGAATCCCATAAAATCGGACAGACAGCGCCTCAGTTACCTCATCTGGCATTACACTTAAACTGGTGTCCAGCTCGAGAGGTATCTGAGTGACTTTGCCTGCAAAATGGTGCGCAAAATCTCTGCACCGAGTTGCCGACTCCTCAGGGATCTCCTCCACCTCAGGTGGAGGAGCTCCCCAATAACCCGGAACAACTCCGATGGCCTATTAGCTGCCAATGCTATGCGGGAAGTCGAGAAAGCTTTCTTGGCTGCCCGCAAAACCGCGGAGTAAGCCTTAATAGCAGCTTTAGCCTGTGCTTGGTCAGAGACGCCACGAGATTTCCTCCAGATGCACTCTAGACCCTCCTTGTACGTTTCATCACAGCCAGCTCCTTAGTGAACCAAGGAGTTGATGTAACTCTACGCAAGGAAAGGCGACATTCGGAAGCGATTGTGTCAATCGCCCTAGCCATCTCGCTATTATAGCAATTAACCAGAGCATTGACAGGATCGTCAGGCTCCAGGACAGAGAAATCCCCGAGACCTCAGGAGTCTATCTGTATCCATAAGTTTCCTTATGGATCAACTTAATGGGTCCACCACCCCTGCGGAGATTAGAGAAAGGATTCTTGTCTGTTGGAGGCAAGTGTGTATGTTGCGACTGGCCACCTTGATTAGCATTGAATAGCCTTGCAGAATCTAGGAACCCCACCTCCTCCAAGAAGAACTGGACCACCTAAACTGGGGTCTATAGGTCAATGGAGACTCCACCACAGACATCAGAAGAGTTGCAAGGCCAAGAACAAGCCATGATAACGAGTTTGGATTCTGATTTCATTGACGAGACCTGATGGATTTGTTATATTGATGTAGTGATGTATTGATATTGATGTTTAATGATTTGTGATGCTATTGCTTTTAAATGCTTAATGATTTTGTATTGTGTATACCTAAATTGTTGTAAACCGCTTTGAGTCGCCTAAGGGCTGAGAAGAGCGGTATACAAATAAAGTAAATAAATAAATAAATAAGTAAGTAAATAAATAAATAAACAATCAGTTCACTAGAAAATTGTGGCCTCTCCAGCCATAATTCAATGTCTGCTCTTGCACTCTTCTCCTGTTCCTTCCCCTATAGTTGTATTGCTCAAATTGACTTGGCCCTTCTAGCCCAAACTTATCATTTGGCTTTTGTAGTTTCCCACCAGTCCTGTCCTTGCAACTGTATTGCACAAGCCCCTGCCTTGCCCTTTAGCTCAGTATATGGCCACTATGTTAGGCTATTGGTTGTTTGTTGGTGGTTAGGTTTTTATGATGTTTGTTATTTGTAAGTTTTACTGTGTTTTTTTTTAAATCTGTGTTTGATTTGGCTCGTCCCCATGCAATCCACCCCAAGTCCCTTCAGGGAGATGGTGGCGGGATACAAAAATAAAGTTGCTGTTGTTGCTGTTGTTGTTGTTATTCAATGTTAATCAAGCTGGCCAGTTGGCAACATTCCCACTTGCCTCCAACAGACAAGAGTTCTTTCTTCCATCCTGGACATTCCACAGATATCTAAACCTCACTTGCCTAGTCTCCTTGGCTCATCTGATGGAAACAAGGGGTCTTCAACTGCAGCTGGTGGTTTAGGCATAGGAAGGTCCAGAGCTCGGATCATACAGCTAGTCAAAGCCACAAATTGAACAAACTCTCCTGTGGGAAGCACCTCAGGGCCTGCTTCCCAGGGCACCTCAGGTGCATCTTCAGAGGAGTCAGAATCCTCTAACAGCACAACTTTCCCCTGAGAAGGGTCCAGCTTAGCCAAGCCATGGGGAGGCCTGCAAACAAAGGAGGTAGTGGCTGTGCTTCTACTGTGAACAGCGCCCCTAATGGGACTTGGAGAGTAGGCTGGCAATTCATGGACTCAGCACTTGGAGGCACTCTCGATACCGTGGCTGACAGGGTAGCTCTTGGCACTGTGGCAGATGGGGCTGACTCCCTCATAGCAGGGAGGGAAGGAAACCCTGGCACTGCTCCACTCCCCTGATTAGGCAGGGGAACAGGGACCGGAGGGCTAACATACACATATTGTCCCTAAGGGTTCAGAAGCCAAAACCCTTGATGGCTAGCAGGCAAGGGAGGCATTGGCAGATATTCCCCCCCCCCCCCCCCCCCCCCCCCCCCACACACACCGGGAGGATCTAGAATAGCGAGAACACCCATGGCCCTTACGACACACTCTCTCCCTCCTCGGAGAGGAAGAAGAGGAGGAGAAAGAAGACGATCCCGAGGTTGACGCCATCCTTGATGTCAAGTGGGAGGAGCGTCAGTGGTGGGAAGCACAACGAGGCCGCCGGGATGGGGGTGGGCCCGCAAACAGTGCAAGGAGCTCCCCAGGCCTCCCTCAGGAGGAGGGAATGGCCCCAACAGGTGAGACGGGGCTAAAGAAGAGGCATCCCCTTGCACAGAGGAATTATCAGAAGCAGAGAGGACCAGCATCAAAGGGGTTATTGGCAGTTCCAGAGGTGCCTGGATGGCAGTGCGTGCCTCAAGCYCCTCCTGCGCAGCTGGGGTGTCCAAGGAGTCCAGCYGGCGTGAATCTTCTGCAGCTCCACAGGAGTCTCTCTCTGCTTGCAGCAAGGAAGCGACCACCACCATGGGGGGGGGGGGGGAGCAATCACGTTGCTGACGCTGCCTGTTACCACTACCAGAGGCGGGAGAGCAGTTGCACCACTTGTTCCCGCCTTTTCAGATGGCTCTTGCTGCCCCAGTGGTGCCTTTGTCCTTTTTTATTTCTTCTTTCGTGCCAGGGGTGGTTGAGGCGCAGCAGCCACCACGGAAGGCATGTTGGGGGGAAACAGAGGCCCCCACATGGCTCTTATTTAAAGCGGGAGGGGGGGAGTAGGACCTGATCGTAGAGKGCCACTTTAAGTCTGTAAAACTCATACAAATTGAGCAGGATTGGGKCAGGTGTCCCTCCCTCAAGCACATGAGGCAAAGAGAATGCCCGTCATTATCCAAACAAGAAACACATTTTTTGAAGGCTGTAGTAGATTACATTATGGATACTTAGGCAATGAAGTCTAAAATCGGTCCAGGTCAGGAACGGAGAAGGAAGGCAGACAAGAAAACAGTCCAGGCCTTAGCATAATAAGGCAGTCCAAATGAGAAAAAGTCTGGTCAGAGAGAAGATCCGATAGTTGCTACTGGACCGGCGGATGAAGAGAACTGAGGCGGAAGCCCCTCCCACTGGCTATATATATGTTCTATGGGGAGAGTGGGCGGGGTCATCACCAAAAATGTCTGAAAATTGTCTAGAAGTTTCCGAAGCTGGTTACGCAAGTGCAGAAAGTACCATTCGTGCGATTCAGTTGACCATGATGGAGAAAGGAGGGAAATCAAAGGATGGAAGGAAGAGAAAGGAAGAGAGAAGAAGGCAAGGAGAAAGGGAGGGAGGAGAACGGAGACATAAAGAGACACAACTGAGAAAAAGAATAAAGAGAGGTGACGAGAAAAAAGAAGAAAGGAGAAAGACTGAAGCAAAAGATGAAGAAAGGAGAGTTAAAGGAGGAAGTATCCATCTTGGCTCTCCTTCAAAGGCCTTACCTTCAGCGCTTTGAAAGTCTCCATGAACTTCTCCAGCTCGTCCGGGGGGAGGAAGTCCCCAATGAAGTGCTTTCCCCGGCCCATCTGGGTCAGCTGCTCGGCCCACTCTGAGCGAGGGAGGAAGAACAGGATGGGGGGAAACGTGAAGTGGAGAAAGAACAGGCAAAGCTGGCCTCCTCCTACTCTGCTTCCCCAAGGCTGAAAGCCCACCTCGCGTCTTGTCCATCTCCATGCGCCTCAGCTGGTGCTCCCAGGTGCCCAGCTCGCTGTCCACCTCCTCATCGCTATCATAGCCAGACTTGTGGCCCTTGACCGTCTTCTCCCACATGATCTGCATCTCCTGCATGGCCCGCTTGTGCTTCATGATCAGGTCGTACATCTGCTGCATCTGGGTGGGCGCAAAAGACACAACTCTTCAACACCCTGGCTCGAAAGATTACAAATCCCAGCAGTCACAGCAAAAGGGGCTCCTTCGCCCCGTCCCTTTTTGGCCTTCACATGAAATCTGAAGACAAATATTAAGCCCTCTTTCCTGTCACTTTGATCCCACATTAACCAAAATCTCCAGCTCAGTCTTTTGACTCCTTTGCAGAGAGATGTATTATTATTATTATTGTTATTATATTGTTGTAAGTCGCTTCTGTTTGCACTTTACTACTCTGCTACTGAGTACGCATGCCCAGTGTGGAACACATCTCACCACGCTAGAACAGTAAACGTGGCTCTTAATGGGAGATGCTGCATTATCACAGGCTATCTAAGCCTTACACTACTGGAGAAATTATACTGTTTAGCCAGTATTGCACCACCTGACATCCGTTGGGAAGTAGCAGCCAACAATGAAAGGACCAGGGCATTAACATCTCTGGCCCATCCTGTTTGGATATCAGCCAGCATGCCAATGCCTTAAATCAAGAAATAAGTTTTCTAAGACCTACAGAGATATTCACAGGAATACCTCAGCAAGCGAGAGTCCAAAAGTGGCAGGCTAAAACTCAGAACATCAATCAGTGGCTGAGACCAAATGAGAGACTCCCCTCCTGGGCACACAGAAAACTGGGCGACCTGGAAGGCGCTAAACAGACTGCACTCTGGCACCATGAGATGCAGAGCCAACCTTAAGAAATGGGGCGGCAAAGTGGTGCCCATGACAGGCGAGTGTGGAGAAGAGCAAACCACAGACCACCTATTACAATGTAGCCTGAGCCCTGCCAGATGCACAATGGAGGACCTTCTCACAGCGACACCAGAGGCACTCCAAGTGGCCAGCTTCTGGTCAAAGGACATTTAGCATAATGCCAAGTTTTTAATATTGTCTATGTTTTTAAATACATTATAACTGTACCCTCAATTCGCTTCTGACACAATAAATACTCTCAAATTTGTCATTCTCTTTCTCTTCTCAAGGTAGATTTTGTCCCCCTTAAAAGGAAATGATGCAGGGTTTCTAACCCAGTTCCACAACAGCATAACTGTGCTTCAGGTTTTGCAACATAATCAAACTTTGTTTTCAACAATTGTAATGCTCACCATAGTTAATAACTTTGAATGTTTTTTGTGTGGGATGTGAAAACAATACATATTCTGCCAGGTTTTCAGTGGGTTTAATTTGTATGTTAATTGTGCTCTCTTTTGTTTATTTCCACAGTTTTGATTTCCTTTCTTGTATTTTGTGTTATGGTTATAAACCACCTTGAGGGCACTGATGGAGGAAGTCAGACTCAAAGGCAGGCTGTAAATCTCTCTATATATAACTGTTCTGCTAATTTTGAGTGATATCATAACTCAAAATCCGCGGGATGAATTGCCGCCAAATTTGGCCACAAGACACCAACTAACCCAAGGAGTAACCATCACTCACAAAATTGATTTTTCATTTGGGAGTTGTAGTTGCTGGGATTTATAGTTTACCTACAATCAAAGAGCATTCTGAACTCCACCAACGGTGGAATTGAACCAAACTGGGCACACAGGATCCCATGACAAACAGAAAACACTAGAAGGGTTTGGTGGGCATTAACCTTGAGTTTTGGAGTTGTAGTTCACCTACATCCAGAGAACACTATGTACTCAAACAATGAAGGATCTAGACCAAACTTCATATGCCCAAATATGAACACAGATGGAGTTTGGGGGAAATAGACCTTGACATTTGGAATTGTAGTTGCTGGGATTTATAGTTCACCTACAATCAAAGAGCACTCTGAAGCCCACTAATAATAGAATTGGGCCAAACTTCCCACACAGAAACCCCATGACCACAGAAAATACTGTGTTTTCTGGTGGTCTTTGGGGACCCTTCTGACATCCCCTCACAACACCCCCCAGAGGTCCCGACCCCCAGGTTGAGAAATGCTGCCTTAATGCCATCCAGTCCAACTCCCTTCACCAGGGCAAGAAAACATAATTAAAGCCCTCCTGACAAAGAGCCATCTAGTCATAGATATAGATAGATATGATTCACACATACACATATATATGAATATGACAGATATATTAACATAGATTTGAAAGGGACCCCTAAAGGAGGATAATTATACGTTGCATGTTCCAGAGTAGGCAAACCAGACACTCCCTACATCAACACTGACAAAAAAACAGCAAGAAATACTGTTTACCCACAAGCATCAAGAAATTACATATATTAGAAACCAACACTTTCTCATTCCTTTATTTTCCAGATCACCAGACTGGGCCACAGCAATACAATGGCAGGGGATGGCTAGTGTCTTTATAAATTAAAACTGAAATTCAAAAGGATGACTTTATGAAACCCAAGCTCACCTCTTGCTGCTCTTTCAGCTGCTTCCGCTGGGCATCCGACAGCTCTGTCACTCCCACCAGGCCGACCGGCTTCCCCTTTTCGTAGCCGAGCCCCTTGAGGTCCTGGACTGCAGACAAACCATACTTATTTTCTTGGGTAATGTTGCTCTGCACCTGTGTCTTTCTCCCTGTTCTGTCCTCCTCCTCCTCCCATTCTCAGCACGGCTGCCTACACGCAACCCAAGCACTGACCAGAGAGTGGGGTGGGCGAGGGCTCCTCTGTCTGATGAGCCAGTTCTGGGGGAGGCAGGTCCACTTTCTCCTCCTCAGGGCCCCACCGGCTTTTCCGTTTCTTTTTGGCAGCGGACGCAGCCACTGCCTTTGCCGACGGTGGAGGGGTTGTTGGTGATGCTGCTGACGTTGCAGCAGAAGAGGAGGATGGCATCGTTTCGGGGGCAGCTTTGCGCTTGGGGTTGGCATCGGAGGCTGGGGGAGGCCCCTCAGCGCTTTCATTGGCTTTCCGGTACTCCTCCAGCTTCTGCCGGTAATATTTGTAGCCGGAGCTGTTGGGTTCATACAGAAACCTTCAGAGGCAGGCAGGCAGGCAGAGAGAGAGAAAGAGAGCAAGGAAAGGAGAACTGAGTACTTCCCTGAGATTGAAAACCATCATTTGCATTGCCCTCCAGGCGCTCTTAAACCCAGCAGCCCCAAACCCAAGGAAATCCACTGAACGACTATAATTTAACTAAATACTTGTGAACCAACCCTTCCTTTCTCCTTCCTTCCGTTCCTCCCTTCCTTCTTTCCCTTCCTTCCTTCCCTCCCACCTTTTTTCCCTTCCCTCCACTTTCCTTGCCTCTTTCCCTTCCTTCCTTCTGTTCCTTCTTTCTCTCTTCCTTCATTGCTTTCCTTTCTTCCTTCCTTTATTTCATTCCTTCCCTCCCCTCTCCTTTTTCTTCCCTTTCTCCTTTTCCCCTTTCCTTTTCCTTCCTTCCATTCCTTCCTCTTCCCTCCCTTCCTCCTCCCTTTCCCTTTCCTCCCCTTCATCCCTTCTTCCTTCCTTCTCTCCCTCCAATTCCTTCCTTCCCTCCCCTCCCTTCCTTTTTTCTCTTTTTTTAGGCTGAAAAAGCCCCTCTTGGTGAGGGTCCTGGTGGGAACAGGCCTTTCCCATGCCTTCCTGCCTGGATCCTTAGCTGTCCGCACACAAACGCAGCTGGGTTGCTGTGCCAAGAGAGGAGAGGCTGCGCACCTTCCGGTTCTCCCCTCTCGGCCTCTCCTCCACTCTAATGTGCTGAGAGAGGAGAGGCTGCGCACCTTACTCTCCTCAGTCTTTCCCACTTCCTCCCTTCCCACCTCAGTTTTTTCCTCACCTTTCCAGCACCCTTTTCCCACCCCAGGCTTCCCTTTCACTAGTTTTCCCCTTCCTACCCCAGCCCCCCTCTCCCACTTTTCCAGTTCCCTTTCCATCCCAGCCTTTCCCAGGTTCCAGCCCCTTTTCCCCCATTTCAGTCTTGCCCCCTTTCCGACCAGTTTCTCACTTTTCCAGGCCAATTTCTCATTGTCCCAGCCCCCACCTCAATCTTTCCCACTTCTCCACTTGCTCCCTTCCCACTCCAATCTTTCTACCCACCCAGCCCTCCAATTACACCCCAGTTTCGCACATTTTGCAAACTTCCATTCTCCATCTCAGTCTTTTCCAGCTGCCCCTCTTTCCCACCCCAATTTCCCCAGCTTTTCCCAATCCCTCGCCCCACTCTCTAGACTGGGGTTTTCCCCACTTTTCCAGCCCTCCTTCCCATCCCAACCTTTCCCAGTTTCCAGCCTCCTTTTCACACCTCAGTCGTTCTCCCTTCCCCAGTTGCCCCTTTCCCACCCAGATCTGTCCTACTTTTCCAGCTACCCCCTCTGCACCTCACCTTTTCCTACTTTTTCAACCATCCCTTCCCATTCCAACCTTTTCAAGCTTCCACAGCTTCATTCCCACCCACTTCCCAAGCCAGTCTTTCCCACTTTTCCCTATTTATATACACACAGCACTTCCCCCAAAATGTATACTTAAAATAAACTGTAGTGATTATTGGAAGGATACGTAAACACATTTACATTGAAGGAGGTTAGAATAATGGTATAATCAGAGTGGGACAGTCTTATCTTAAATACAGTTTTATGTAAATACTAGCTGCACCCGCCACGCATTGCTGTGGCCAACCTTCCCTCCCTTGTTCTCTTCTTTCTTCTTTCTTTCTTTCTTTCTTTCTTTCTCTCCTTCCTTCCTTCCTTCTCTTCTTCTTCCCTTCCTCCCCCCACCACCTTTTCTTTCCCTTCCTCTTTTTCCCTGTTCTTCCTTCTCTACCTATTTTTGGACTGCTACTCCGAGCAGTCTTCCGGATCAATCTACCTCCCTACCTACCTCTATCTAATCTATCTATCTTATCTATCTGGAGGGGTTCTGGGAATTGCAGTCCAGGAATAGGAAATGGGAAATCTGCAGGGATTGGGATGCTCTCAAAGAAACCCAAGGAGAAGAAAGCTTGCACCTTGGAAGCAGTGCATTTGGCTCATCCTCCTCTCTTAAAGGGCCTGGTCTAGAGGATGCTGGGAGCTGTAGTCCAAAACAGAGTGTGGATATGCTATTGTATGCTCTGTTTGCCGGGGGAGTCATTTTTGCGCATGCGCTGTAGCATCTTTATGCTTTTTTGGCTTTTTAAGTCCCTTCCGCTGTGTTTTGCAGTGTTTTTATGAGTGATAGTCACTCATTGGCCTGACAGGTGTATTGTGTTTAAATTTCATGTCAATTCGTCCATTGGTTTTTGAGTTATGTTAATCCTACAAACGAACATTACATTTTTATTTATATAGATTCAAAAACATTTAATCTACTGAGGCCTCAATGTAATTTTATTGGGATCTATTTTTATTTTGAATTTAAAAAAAATTATTTTATTATATTTTCTATAGAACAACGAAAGAGTGAAAACAATAAAGGTAAAAGAAAAGAAGAGAGAAAAGAGAAGAGACATGTGAAAACATAAAGAAAGTACCGTAGATCAAAAAAGATAAAAAAGAGCAAAACAAAACCAAAATATAAATATAAAAATAAAACAAAAAAACAAAAACAAAAAATGACTTCCATTCCATCTTCTTGGATATTGTCTTTCTCTCATAAAAATTTTATACTTCAAAAAAATTTGATTCATATCACAAATTATAGAGGAAGGGAAGTGCTATACACAAATAAAGGAGATTGCAAATCAATTTAAGAACTTTTATAAGAAGCTATACAGAAAAGAGCAAATCAAGATGGAGGACATATCAACCTACATAGCCGAACAAAAGCTAAAGAGGATCAGCGACATCCAGCGAGAAAACCTAAACAAACCAGTCTCCATAGAGGAAGTAAAAAAGGCAATAGATAGAATGCAATTAAATAAGGCGCCTGGACCTGACGGCTTCACGTCCAATTACTACAAGACATTTAAAGAAAAACTCTCACCATACTTACAAGAATTAATAAATAAAATTTTGAACGGAGCAGAGAACCCAAGATCCTGGCAAGAGGCCAACATCACACTAATCCCAAAAGAAAACACCAACTTAAACAATATGAGGAACTTCCGACCAATATCTTTGCTTAACTGTGATTACAAGATCTTCACTAGCATTCTGGCAGAGAGACTGAAAAATCTATTAAGTGAAAGAATCAAGGAAGACCAATGTGGCTTTTTGCCTAAAAGACAACTAAAGGACAATATAAGAATGATATTAAATCTAATGGAATACTACGAAAGGAACCCACAAAAGGAGATTGGCTTTCTTTTCTTGGACGCAGAGAAAGCCTTCGACAACACAAGCTGGGAATTTATGAAGGAGGTCTTAAAAGAAATGGACATTGGTTACAGTTTTCTTTGTGCAGTGAATGCCATATACAACAAACAAACGGCTAAAATTCTAATAAATGGATCAGAAACAGATAAAATAGAAATAAAAAAAGGAGTTAGGCAAGGTTGTCCGCTCTCTCCGTTATTATTTATAATGGTCCTAGAGCTACTATTAGATAACATCAGAAAGGAGAAAGAATTAACTGGAACCAAAATAAGAACAGAGGAATTTAAAATAAGAGCATATGCGGACGACGTGGTCTGCATTATAGAGAGACCCCTGGAGTCCATCCACAAATGGACCCAGAAAGTGGAGAGGTTTGGTGATTTAGCAGGCTTCAAGATTAACAAAGACAAAACAAAAATAATAACTAAAAACATTTCCAAAACAAAAATAGCAAAATTACAACAAATAACATCGTATGAAATTGTTAAAAAAGTCAAATATTTGGGGGTAACTATCTCTAACTCTAATTCTCATTTAATGAAAGATAACTATGACAATGCTTGGAAGAACATCAAAAGAAAATTAGATAATTGGAACCATCTTAAGTTGTCTCTTTTGGGTAGGATTGCTGTCATAAAAATGTCCATTTTACCAAAAATGATATTTTTGTTTCAAACAATTCCAATTCTAAGATCAGGGAAACAATTTAACAACTGGAACAAAGACTTAACCAAATTTATCTGGAATGGTAGAAAGCCTAGGATAAAATTTAAAATATTGACAGATGCAAAAGACAGAGGAGGCTTAGCACTACCCAATTTACAACTCTATTATGAAGCGTGCGCATTGTCATGGATCAAGGATTGGGCAACCTTACAGAATGAAAAGATGCTGACCTTGGAAGGGCGGGACCTAAGAAGAGGTTGGCACGCCTACATCTGGTATGGCAAGGCCAGAGTAGAGAGCAACTTTAGGAACCATTACATTAGAGGACCCCTACTGAAAGTATGGGATAAACGCAAACCTTTCTTTTACGACAAAACTCCTATGTGGGTGTCTCCTGCTGAGGCGTTTCATAAGAAAGAAATTCCTTGCGAGAATTGGCATCCCTACTCCAAATTATTAGGAAAAATCAACAACTCCTGGGAACTAAAGTCACTAGAAGAAATAAGGAAATTTGATAGTAAGATGAGTTGGTTTCATTATTGGCAAACCAAGGAATGTTTTAAAGAAGATCGAAAAGTAGGGTTCACCTCCAAGGAATCCAACTGGGATAAAGCGCTGAAAAAAGATAAGAAACTAATAAGATTACTTTACCTGTTAGAGTGGGATTTGGAAAAAGACAGAGTTAAGGAGAATATGACAAGCTGGGCTTTTGATATAGGTCATTCAATTCTATTGAAAGACTGGGAAACAATATGGAAAAAGAAACTAAAATTCACAAAAGCATCAAGTATAATTGAAGGATGGTATAAGATTTATTTTAGATGGTACTGGACACCTTCACGACTATCTAAATTCAACAAAAACTATAGCAATAGATGCTGGAGATGTGAAAAAGAACTAGGCACCCACTTCCACATGTGGTGGGGGTGCAAAATAATTAAGAAATATTGGTCAATAATACATACACTCAAAAAATCATTAATGTGAAATTTGAAATAAAGCCTGAACTTTACCTCTTAAACATAACAGAGCTGAACTTCACTGAAAATGAAGAGAGAATCCTCTTTTATATAACAGCCGCAGCTAGAACAACAATTGCACAAAAATGGAAGGAAAAAATCTCTCCACATATTGAAGAATGGATAAACAAAATCCTTGACTACATGAATATGGAAAACTTATCACAAAAACTAAGCAACAAAGTAAAGAACAAACAAATAGACTGGGAACCTTTAAAAAGGTTCATGCAGGAAGAAATGCAAATCCAAATATAGAGATGTAAGATATAGCAACAAATATAGAAGGAAAAAAATGGTAAAAGAAACAAGAGGAAAAATAATGGACAAAGTGTTTTACTCCTTGTGACCTGAACCGGAAGTCAACACCTTCCCCGCCCCCCTCTAATCCTACCCCCTCCTCCCCCCCTTCCCCCCTCTTGTTGGTCCCCTCCTTTCACCCCTGACTATCCTTTCTTGTCTACCTTAAACTGTGAATTGTTCCCCCTCTTTCACTATATTTTATTTGAAAAACTGAAAATAAAAAATATTTTTTAAAAAAATTGTTTCTCATGTTTTTTTTTAATTTTTGCTGATTTTCTAGATAGTCATCCAGATGATCCCAATTTGTCCTATTTAAAATATTTCCCGTGTTTTTCTACACCAAAAAAAGTCAGTTCATCCATATCCTTTATTTCTGTAATTTTCCCTATCCACTCTTCTATAGGTGGAATTGATTCTGGTTTCCATTCTCTTGCAAATATATGTAAAAAGTTTATCTTCTTGTTCATTTAATTGTAAGTCCAAGTCTGTAAATCCTAATAGATAATATTCTGGTTTTTTCATAAAACTTTTTTAAAGGATCTTTTGTGTTTCTTCGTGTATCTTTGTCCAGTATTTAATTGCTACCTTACATGTCCACTGCATGTGGTAAAAGGATCCAAGTTGATCCTTACATTTCCAGCACTTGTCCGAGACCGATTTATACATTTTAGCCAATTGTTTAGGTGTGGTATACCACCCGTGGAACATTTTTATCCAGTTTTCTTTTAAATCCGTTGCATAAGTATATTTTTTGTTCCACATTTGTTCCCACTCTTTCATTCGGATTGGTCTTCTTAAATTTTGGGCCCATTTTATCATACAATCTTTAACCTGTTCTTTTTCGGTCAGCCAATTGAATAATATATTATAGATATTGGAAATTACTTTCTTTTATATTTTTAATATCTTATCCCAAATCACATCTTCCCAGTTGAAGCCTAATTTTTTATCTTGCTTATAATTTGCATATAGTGTAACCACGTAATATTTGTAAAGTTCTGTTTTAATTCCTCATACGTTTTAATATTATTTGTACTCTTATTTAACAAGTCTCTTTAGGTTGGCCACTTCCGCCAGCCCAAAAGTCTTCGCTGATGCGCTTCCATCAGGGAGACCCATAAAGGTGTTTTGCAGTAGAGATGTCTTTTTTTGCCAGACTCTCAATAGAGATGCTCTGACAAAATGATTACCAAAATTCTTTTCTTTCGATTCCCCTCTCATACCACAAGTAGGCATGCCAGCCCACTCTTAAATCGTTCCCTTCTAAATTTAAAAAGTCTTCTTTGTTCAGTAGTATCCAGTCTTTAATCCACATCAGTGCACATGCGTCGTGATAAGCCTTAAAGTCCGGGAGCCCTAAACCACCTCTAGATTTCTTATCAACCAGGTTGTCGTATTTTATTCTTGGTCTTCCTCCGGCCCATATGAATTTCAGTATCTCTTTCTTCCATTTTTTAAAAAAGTGATTAACTTCTAATTATTGGGTGGTTTTGAAAAAGGAACATCAGTTTTGGTAAAATATTCATCTTAACTAAAGATATCCGGCCCAATAATGATAGCCTCAAATATACCCACTTTTGTAAGTCCCTTTGAATTTTTTTCCACATCTCTTCATAATTATTTTTTAACAATTGACCATTTTTAGTCGTTATCCATACTCCCAGATACTTAATTTTTTAAACTATTTCCAGACCTGTTTGCTCCTTAATCATGTCCTGTTTTTTATTTTTATTTTGAAATTCACCAGTAGCTGCTGCATTCCCCACCCTTGGCCTATACTCAATTCAATGCATTTTCCCAGTTTTCTGGGGTAAAATTAAGTGCTTCGGCTTATATTTGGGTTGGCTTATATACGAGTATATACGGTAGTAATAATAATAATGTAACACCTCCGGCTCCCCTTCCTCACCCTCCGTACCTGAAAGCCTGGTTCTCCCGGTGGTTCTTCAGGGCCACTGTTTCCACCACGGGCCCCCCGTCCGCCACAAACCGGGCCAGCTTCTCGGCACAGTCCTGGGTCTCCTTGTCGTCTGGGGGTGAAACTTTAAGCAGGCTGTCAGTACGCTGCCCCCAAGTCAACACACCACAAACAGCCACAAGCTTTAATCTGGCGTTAAGGAGCCCCTGAGCTCTTTGGAGGGGGAAGGCCGGGGGTGTTTAAACCCTTTACTTTGTTAGGGGGGACCCTTATTTTATCCACAGACATAAAATGGAAGGAAAAAAAATCAGAAGGTTAACATCAATGGAAAAGAAACCAAGGGACAGGAATGGGCTTACTTGGGAGGGAGTTCAGATTCATGGCTGAGATTAGGTATTACGATTTGCGGGTTCACTATGTGTCTGACTGAGTTGCGGTCCACTAGGGAGGCTTCACTTTGAATATGTTTGAGTGGTTTCTGACTGTGATTTTTTAAAATACTGTTCATATTTAATTCTGTTTTAATGTTTGCATATTTGTATATTTTAAATGGTGTGCAAATGCTTTTATGTTATGCCGTTTTGAGTCCCTTTCAAGAGAGATAAATACAATTCCCAAGTGACAAAATCAATCCCCCCAAACCCTCAATTTGTGCCAAATTTGGTCCAGTGAATGAAGATACATCCTGCATATCAGATATTGACATTGTGATTCATAACAGCAGCAAAGTTACAGTCATGAAGTAGCAATGAAAATGATGTTATTGTTGGGGATCACGACAACATGAAGAACTGTATTAAGGGGTCATTAGGAAGGTTGAGAATCATTGGGCTAGAGTATTACATAACTATCAAAAAAGACTTGATAACACTAACTGACTGGTTTTAAATGGTGTTTATATTTATATTGTTTTTAGGGGGCAAATAGCTTTAAAATTGTTATTTAATAATGCTTATATTATGATATTTTAATAGTATGAAGTCATAATTGTTTATTGCTGTTTAAGGTCTATTGCTATATTATTTTCTGTGTCTGTTGATTGTTGTAAGCTGCCCCGAGTCCCTTCAGAGAGAGGGGGCAGGGCATAAATAAAACTTATATTATTATTATTATTATTATCCAGCTAAGCAGCCCAGTGCCATTCGCCCCTGCCCTACCTTTTTGGGACGAAGAGGTCTCCTCAGGGTCTTGGCCTTTCTTCCACATCTCTGCCAGTTTCTTTCTGTAGTACAGAAACTCTGGGCTGTTCTTATCCTGCAGAAATCTAAATAAAGAGAGGGTGGGGGAGAAAATAAATGCAGAGAAACACAGTCAGTATGCAGCCCCAGAATAATTTTTGTGGGCCCCCCCCCCCCCCCCCAAAAAGGTAAATATTTGTAGTTTCCTTCCTTGGGTTTTTAATCAAAGGCTGGAAGGCCATCTATCTCACAACTCCAAAGTTTCTTGGATGAAACCCATTATCTGGATCCATCTCAATCTCGTTTTAGGCCTGGCCACAGGACAGAGATGGCATTGATCGCCTTGGTGGACGATCTACGAAGAGAGCTAGACAGGGAGAGTGTGTTCCTGCTGGATCTCCTGGACCTCAGTGGCTTTCAATACCATGGTATCCTTCTGGGTCAGCTCTCCAGAATGGGACTTGGCGGCACTGTTCTGCAGGCTCCAGTCCTTCCTGGACTCCTTGGTTGGTGATCTGTGAGGTCCCTCAGGATTCAATTCTGTCCCTCATACTGTTTAACATTTACATGAAACCACTGGGAAAGATCATCTGGAGTTTGAAGGACTTTAAGATCATCTGGAGAGGCCCTGCTCTCGGTCCCACCATCATCACAAGTACGGTTGGTGGGAATGAGAGACAGGGCCTTTTCGGTGGTGGCCCCTCGACTATTGAACGCCCTTTCTAGGGAGATTAGATCGGCTTCCTCGCTCCTATCATTCCGAAAGGATCTTAAGACATGGCTTTTTGAGCGGGCATTTGAAAATATGGAGTAACTGATATAATAATGGAATAACTATATGGCGGAACTGGACATTGCTTTAATGAATATCGATTGAAGTATGTTTCATTATAATGTTTGATTTTATTGTTGCTGATGTTTTTATATTGTATATTGTAATTGTGTCCTTGGTGGCATTGAACTTTTGCTTTGTAAACCGCCTCAAGTTGCCAGAAGGCTGAGAGGGGCGGTATAGAAATGTACTAAATAAATAAATTTATGCGGACGACACCCAACTCTATTACTCCTTTCCACCTAATGCCAAGGATGTCATCCTGCCACTATGCCTGTCATCGGTGATGGACTAGATGAGGGCTAATAAGTTGAAGGTAAATCCAGACAAGACACAGGTACTCCTGGTCAGTCGGAAGGCAGACCAGCACATGGGATTAAAGCCTGTGCTGGACGGGGTCACACTCCCCCTGAAGACACAGATCCACAATCTGGGGGTGATCCTGTACTCATCCTTGACCCTGGAACCCCAAGTGCTGGTGGTGGCCAGGAGCGCCTTTGCACAACTAAAACGTTTGTACCAGCTGCGCCTGTATCTTGAGACGCCAGACTTAGCCACAGTAGTCCATGCCTTGGTCACATGCCACAAGAGCATTGCACTTGGACTACTGCAATGCTCTCTTTGTGGTGCTGCCTTTGAAGATAGTCTGGAAGCTACAACTGGTCCAGAGATCAGCACCCTGGTTACTCACTGGAGCCCCATACAGAGAAAGAACCACTCCCCTGTTATGACAGCTTCACCAGCTGCCTGTCTGCTTCTGGGCTAAATACAAAATGCTGATCATTACTTTTAAAGCCCTAAATGTTTCAGGCACAGACTATCTAGCAAACCACATTTCCTTGTACAAGCCTGCCTGGGCTCTTCAATTGGCTGAGGAGGCCCTACTCTCGGTCCTACCCCCGTCTCAAGCATGGCTGGTGGGAACAAGAGAGGGGGCCTTCTCAGTGGTCACCCCCCATCTTTGGAATGCCCTCCCCAAGGAGATCAAAATGGCCCCCTCCTTACTCTCCTTTAAGAAGCAACTTAAAACATATTTTAATTATTTTTCTTTTAATTATTATATGTAGCCCGCCCATTGTCACTGTGATTGTGCTTATTGTAATTTTATATTGTTATGTATTCACATGTTTTATATAATTATGATGTTGTTGCTTATTGTTTGCATTTTCGGTTTTACTCTGTTGTAATTTGTTGTTTGGGCTTGGCCTCATGTAAGCCGCCCCGAGTCCCCATCGGGGAGATGGTGGCGGGGTATAAATAAAGATGATGATGATGATGTTTTTGAAGGCTTTCATGCTCAGAATGACTGGGTTGCTGTGAGTTTTCTGGGCTGCCTGGCCATGTTCCAGAAGCATTCTCTCCTGATGTTTTGCCCATATCTATGGCAGGCATCTTCAGAGGTTGTGATGTCTGCTGGAAACTAGGCAAGTGGGCTAAGCCATAGCGGAGCACTTGATGAACCAATATGGACATAGTACATTATTTGAGAACACAGAAATTCTGGACCACTCTAACAACCACCATGTCAGACTACACAGAGAAGCCACTGAAATCCTCAAGCACGAGGACAATTTCAACAGAAAGGAGGAAACCATGAAAATGAACACAATCTGGCTACCAGTATTTAAAAAAAAAACCCTCTAAAATCAGGGCAGTAAATAAAGAGCAACACTCAGAAAACAGGGGAATTTCATGTCAGTATGTGGTTTTATAGATGTGAAAATTGCTTATAGTTCAAACCAGGGGTGCTCAAACTTTTTAAACAGAGGGCCAGGTCACAGTCCCTCAAACTGTTGGAGGGCTGGATTATAATGTGAAAAAAACATGAATGAATTTCTATGCACACTGCACATATCTTATTTGTAGTGCAAAAAAACCCCCCAAAATTTAAAAACACAATAATTAAATGAAGAACAATTTTAACAAATATAAACTTATTAGTATTTCAATGGGAAGTGTGGGCTTGCTTTTGGCTGATGAGATAGGATTGTTGTTGTTGTGGTGTGCTCTCAAGTGGTTTCAGACTTAGGATGACTCTGAGCAAGGGCCGGGTAAATGACCTTGGAGGGCCGTATCCGGCCCCCAGGCCTTAGTTTGAGGACCCCTGGTTTAACCTGTGTGGTTAAGTAATGCATGTGTTAATACATAGAGTTGTGATGCATTGCTAGAGTGTAACTTTGGAAGGTTCCCCTGATGGTCGATGGAGAGCTGATAACATTGGAATGTGCATTTTGCCACGTGTCCGAGATGCGAGAGGACATGATTGACAATTTTTTATATATATAGTGTGTATTTGCCAATAAACATAAGTGCCACTTTGGTTTGAAAGCTGAATTGAAGTAAGGCGATTTTACTACTTTGTGCCTTCAGGCAGATACTTGAAAGGTCAGAGCAGATTGAGATAAGGAAGGTAATTTATTTCAATTAACTAACATTCCAGACAGGAAACAATCAGGGCCAGCATAGACTTCCCAACAAAGGATCCCCCAGGGCAGGAAGCAGCCAGGCTTTGCAGCTGCAAGGCCATTCAATGCTAATCAAGCTGGCCAATGGCAACAGTCACACTTGCTTCCAACAGACAAGGTTTTTTTCTTCCACTTTGGACATTATTCCATAGAAACATATACGCTTCACTTGCTTCACTACCTCTATGCAGATAACCTCATTGACTGACTTTGCAGCTTCATGGCTACTCAATGCTATTCAAGCTTGCTAAATGCAACATTCACACCTGCCTCCAAAAGACAAGAGGTCTTTCTCCGTTGAGACTCCATATTATTATTATTATTATTATTATTATTATCATCCCAACCTGGACATCATTCCACAGGGATATATACTCCGCTTGCATAGTTTCCAACAGACCTCAAAACCCCTGAGGATGTTGTTGTTGTTACTCGTAACAGATAATAATAATACTTTATTTGTATTCCTATTTCTCCGATAGTACACAGGGCAGATTCCAGCATATACAGACACAAGGCAAATATTAAATGCCTTGAAACAATGAAATACAGATACACAGTCTTCCCCTTCATCTCCAGCTGTGGGGGTGATGCTCATCTCCATTTCTAAGCCGAAGAGCCAGCATCTTCTGTAGACGCCCCCTAGGTCATGTGGCCAGCATGACTGCATGGAGCGCAGTTTACCTTCCTGCTGAGGCGGAACCTATTGATCTATTCACATTTGCATGTTTTCGAACTGCTAGGTTGGCAGGAGCTGGGGCTAGCAGTGGGAGCTCACCCCGACCCGCCAACCTTCCGGTCAGCAAGTTCAGCATCTCAACGGGTTAACCCGTTGCACCACCGCGTAATCAACAGAATTGTTATATGAGGTAAATAATAATTATATATTGTATATATGCAATTGCAACAATGTTACAAATAACTTACATCTAAGCAATAATAAACTAATACTAATAATCTGATCAATGTGAAGTTGAAGTGCTGAGTGAGGGCGCAACATAGGGTATACGTTCCCAAAAGCCAACCAAGGGATGACGGAAAACTTACGCAAAGTTAGGGTTGTCCTTGCAGTCTTCCAGGGCCACTTTCTCCATCTCAGGGCCCCCTTCGGCCACCACCCGGGCCAGCTTCTCCACAATCCGGCGGGTCCTGAGGTCCTCTGGGGGGCAAACTTTAAGCAGGCTGTCAGTACTGGGGCTCTCTACTCACACCCCCAACAGGCACATTCCCTCTAAGAACCACGGCGGTCGGTCAGTGGGGAAAAGGAGGGCAAGGGTTGAAGGGGGAATGAGGAGAAAGAGGGTGAAACCATGGAGCTGCGGCAGAGGAGAGCAACACAAGCCACGGTCGGGACAGGGAAGGCCACAAGCCTATCGACATCGCAGAAGTCAAGCTCGGGCAACCCCAGGGTTCATAGCTTCCCCCATCCCTGCCTTCACAAGCCTTTATTTCTTTCTGCGATCCTTTGCTGAGAAGGAATCATGGAAATATTTGGGCTCTGGAGTGCTTTCGGGGAGTCTTTCCAGGCATCATTTTAAGGCAAAAAGGCCTGGAAATCTTATCATTAAAAATACAAAGTGTCAAAAAATGTATACACACTTTAAAAGCTGATAGCTGGACAGTTCTGTTAAAGGAACACACCATTTTCACCAGAAATATTTTTGTTGGGACTGGTAAATTATATCATTAATTAATCAGGAAAAGAAAGATTTTCACCCTGACGTATGTGGATGATCCAGTACTCAACTCCCTCTCTCAGTTGGGTCTTAAAATCTATTATTATTATTATTATTATTATTATTATTATTATTATTATTATATTTTTATTATTCGCTTCACAAATTACAAAGGTACAGGAATACTTTTGAATATTTATACCTCAGTTTCATCAAGCATATGATCATTCTGCCCTGTTTTTTCTGGCTGTTGTATAGTTTAAACACAATAAAGACAAACTGACTGTACCTAAACATCTCATTATTCTTATGCATAGCAATCAGCCTACGGTTCTCTAAAGTAAGTGAAACTAAAGGGTATGTGTTTCTACATTACCCCAAGCCTTTCCAGGGCACTTCTTACCAAATTTTCAGGTGTAACTTTGAGTTACAGCTGGCCTTAAAAATCTTCTAAAGGCTTTCAGTATCTACTACCAAGAGGAATATTTGTCGATAAATTACTCCAACACCAAGGTTATGGTTTTTGACAGGTGCCGCCTCAGGTATAAATGGTCCTTAGAGCAACATGCCATAAAACAAACCCATCTAGTCAAGTAACTGGGATATGTTTTTACTGAATCTTTTTTTGAGATATTGATAAGAATTTCTTTCCTCCTGAAAAAATGTATAATATCACAAAGGACTACTACCTCACCCACTTCATAGGAGATATGCTACTAAACAGGAGCTTTTTTGTTGAGTTCCAAGGCCAGAGAAGCAGATGGCAAAGACAGAAGAACAGCCTGCCTCAAGGGCGTATGCTTGTTACATCAATGTTCAACATTTACACAAATGACTAGCCACTGTCAGAAGGGACAGAGTGTCATCTAGACTGAAGATCGTGCCCTCACCGCAGGGAGCTTTGAAACGGTTGAACAGAAGCTCTCCAAAGCTTTAGGTGCTCTTATTGTCTATTACAAGGAATACCAGCTGATCCCTAATCCATCTAAAACGCAGACGTGTGCTTTTCACCTTAAGAACAGACAAGCATCTCGAGCTCTGAGGATGACCTGGGAAGGAATCCCACTGGATCATTGCAGCACACCAACATACCTGGGAGTCACTCTGGACTGTGCTCTGACTTACAAGAAGCACTGCTTGAATATCAAGCAAAAAGTGGGTGGCAGGTTAAAACCCAGAACTGCAATCAGTGGCTGAGACTGGATGAGAAACTCCTTCCTGGGCACACAGAAGGCTGGGCAACTTGGAAGATGCTGAACAGACTGCGCTCTGGCACCACGAGATGCAGAGTCCATCTTAAGAAATGGGGCTAGAAAGTGGAGTCTGTGACATGCAAGTGCAGAGAAGAGCAGACCGCTGACTACAATGCAGTCTGAGCCCTGCCACATGAACAATGGAGGACCTTCTCACAGTGACACCAGAGGCACTCCAAGTGGTCAGCTTCTGGTCAAATGAACTTTAGTATAATGCTAAGTTTCTAACTTTGTTTGTGGTTTTTCTATACATTATAACTGTATTCTCAATTCACTTCTGACACAAAAATAACCTGTGTGGGGGGGCATCAATTGAGCCATCAGCTTTTAAAGTGTGTATACATTTTTGGGACACCCTGTATTGCTTTTGTAGAATGATTGTTATATTTATTCATACCCCACTTTATTTCCCAAAAGGAGACTCAAAGCAGGGCTTCAGGCACCTGATATATGCAACCCAAAGGCCACATGAAGCATTCGCCCTAATTTTATTACTGAGGGCACATTTCCCTGTGTCTGGTTTTAAAAGAATCTGGTCATGGGGCAATGTTTCCCTGGCCAAATTCCTGGTTTGAATACATGATGTTTCCATCTTTAAAAGACAGGATGGTCTCAGAGATCTAACAGCACGCAAAAGGGAAATGGAAAAAGCGAGAGCATTCGGGGGAGGAACTTACTTTTGATCTCCAGCCACTGTTCGTAGTCCTCTTCTTCCTCATCATCGGGCGACTGGAAAACGCTGAGCCGGTTGGTGACAGGCGTCTGCTTGGAATGAGTGTAGTTCTTGACTTGGTTCAGCATGCTGCTGACACTGAGGTTGGGCCTCTTCCCAGTTAAAGGTGGCTTCTTGGCCGGTGGAGGCTGCATCGCAGAGGCCTCTGCTGAACTGGAGGAAGCTCCTAGACAGCAAGGGAAATGGGTTTCGGCAATGGGGTGGGACACAGAAAACAGGAACCCAGACCAAATGTGAAGCCTTCCAGTATGAAGAGCTTCTCAGCAGGGCCAGACTACATTTAGTCCACTGTATCCATGGGCTCACTATGCACAAATTCAACTCATTACCCTGTATAATAATACTACTGCTTTATTTATAACCCGGCCTACCTCAACTGAGAGGACTCAGGGAAGTTTCCAGCAAAAACAACAGTGGGAAAGTATTGCACTCTAGCTCTGGAACATCTTTTCACCCAACACCACACAGAGCCCAGTAGTAACTAACTACAGCAGTTTTTTGTTTTGTTTTGTTTTTTTTTTTTTACAAAAAGCATATACAAAAAGGGGAAATGGGCATTTCCCAAAAACAGTAGAAAGGGTGCTATGGAATAGCAGTAATCCAAATATATAAAGATCAATAGCCCAAGATAGCAAGGTACGTGAAATCCATGAAGTCAAGAGCATGGACATAAATCCATAAGCATAAAAACACAAACTTATCCAAGGCAAAACTATTTCAGGAACAGAGGCAAACTTGAGAGCTGAGCATAAACTTGATTTTACAGCAATGTTGTCTGCTCTGAAGAGACCAGGAAAATATCACTTAATTTAAGCTCAAACCTGATCATGAAGCCATGCGGTCATCCCTTCGGCACCTGGGTTTCAAGGACTGCTTCTCAGGAAGTCTTTCTGAACTTCTAATTAACCTTTCTAATCTCATATTGTGGGGCAACTCCCCATCTTCTGAAGGCCGAGAAGGCCAACTCTCAAGAGAAACGGAATCCCAAACATTCTCTATCTCTTCTATCTACGACCGACAATTCTGTGTTTCAGCCTGATCACACACTCAGTGAAAAATCAATAATTTCCCACACCCTCTGAGGCAGAATACCCTGCATCTTGCTGCTGAGCCCCAACACAAACATTCAATGCCAAAACAACAAATAACAATCAAACCAGTGGGTAAAACAATCTCAATAAAAACTAAATATATATATAAACAAAAATCTTAAATAAACACAACATAATACATCACAAATATTTACAACATGATAAGTTCTTTAAAACTCTTAAATATTAGACCAAAAACATTAAAGTTAGGATGGTATACAACTTCTAATGGCAAAGGTAGGTGTCCCTTTGTCGGTTCTTTGATGCTGGAGAATGACGTAGTTGTGCTGCTCAGAGCTGGAAAACATTCCCATATAAACCAGTGTCTAAACTTATGGATCTTAGATTGCCATATTCAATCTGTTCCTGGATTATGGACTTCTTGTCTGGAGGTTCCCACAGGGTTCAATTAGGTCATCATACTTTGTCAGCTAATCTCACTCTCAACACTGGAACGCCACAGGGCTGTGGGTTGATGCCTCTGCTTTACACTTTGTACACATATGATTGCATCCCCGTTCAACATAGCAATATCATTACCAAATTTGCAGATGACACAACCATGATGGGGCTTCTTATTTCTGAAGGGGATGAGCCTGCCTATTGGGATGAGGTGGATTGGCTGCTCTCATGAGGCAGGGACAACCAGCTTGTCTGTGGAAGTGGGAGCCCCAGCCGCACACATACATTTTCACTTTTATTAGGTATATAGATATGCAAGACCTTAGTATCCACAGACGAGCCTGAAACTAATCCTCCGCAGATACAATATTCAATGATGATTTGAAAGGCAGAAGAGCAAAATGGTCAGCTTACGGGAATGTTTCAACTGTAGGATCCATTGAGATGGTTCCCCTTCCAAGTACAAAAGGCATAGAAGCTGACAACAAAGGAGAAGAGTAAACAGAAAGCTTACCGCTTCCAGATTTCTCCTTCTGCAGTTTGAGGAACTGTTGGAGGAAGCTCCCATCGTTGGCAAACTTGTTTGACACGGTGCTTTCACCCTCGCCACTCTCATCGCTGGAAAGCCAAAGAGGGATGGCATTAGTGGTTCCAATAAAAGCAACAAATGGGCCCAGAACCCTTCTTGGGTCATGTTTCCACTTAAATGTGGGCCATTCAGATGCTGGGCACTCCTTTTTTGGCATTTTGTGCCTTGAAGTCATTTCTGTGCCTTTACAAGTTGTCAGGGGTGGTTTGTCATGGCCTTTCTATGAAGCTGAAAAAGTGTGACTTGCCTAATAGGGGTTTGAACCCTGGTCTTCCTACTCAAATCTCTATAATGGCTTCCAAATAAGCAACATTTGCTGTTTATCTTCTTGTTTTTAATTACACACTGTATTTAATTACACTTTATGGCGTTCTATAATTACTGCTCTGCTTTCCAGAGTTTCCTTTTCCTATTGCATGGTTTTGGACCATACAATTAACATAGTGAATACATCTCAGAGGCAATTTCTTATAAACTGTTAAGAATGGAGAACCAATAAGATTCTCCAGACTAGATTGGATTTTAAGAGTTCTAGAACTGGCAGAAATTGACAAATTGCCTTGTCCAATAAACGAGAAGCCAACAATTTTTTTTCAAATAATGAAAAGTTTTTATCACTTATAAAGAAAAAAGAAAATGCTTGCAGGTTTTGAAGATTAAGTAAACCATTAAAAGATTAGGGCAGAATAAAAAAACTGATTAAGAGATTGGGGGCATTACAATAATATTTTAATCTAATTGTGTTTAATCTATACTGATGATTGTGCCATCATCGCCCAAGCAGTGAACTTTGAAATAGTTGAACAGAAGTTCTCCGAAGCTTTAGGTGCTCTTACTGGCTATCACAGGGGAAACCAGCTGATTCCTAATCCATCTAAAATGCAGACGTGTAGTTTTCATCTTAAGAACAGATAAGCATCTCGAGCTCTGAGGATGACCAGGGAAGGAATCCCATTGGAGCATTGAAGCACACCCAAATACCTGGGAGTTGCTCTGGACCATGCTCTGACCTACAAGAAGCACTGCTTGACTATCAAGCAAAAACTGAGTACTAGAAACAATAACATACAAAAGCTGACTGGCACAACCTGGGGATCACAACCACACACAGTGAAGACATCTGCCCTTGCACTTTGCTACTCTGCTGCTGAGTACACATGCCCAGTGTGGAATACATTTCAACATGTTATAAGAGTGGACGTGACATCACAGAATGTCTATGCTTTACACCACTGGGGAAATTATGTTTACCCAGTATTGCACCACCTGATATCCTCAGGGAAGTAGCAGCTAGTAATGAAAGGATCAAGGCATTGACATCTCTGGCCCATTCTCTGTTCGGATAGCAGCCAGCATGCCAATGATTTAAATCAAGAAACAGCTTTCTAAGATCTATGGAGATACTTGCAGGAACACCTCAACAAGCGAAAGTGCAAAAGTGGCAGGAAAAAAAATGGAACTTCAATCACTTACTGATACCCAATGAGAAACTCCCTCCTAGGCACATAGAAGACTGGGTGACTTGGAAGGCACTGAACAGGCTGCACTCTGGCACCATGAGATGCAGAGCCAACGTTAAGAAATGGGGACTCAAAGTGGAGTCCGTGACATGTGAGTGTGGAGAAGAGCAAACCACAGACCACCTGTGGCAATGCAGACTAACCTCGGCCACATGTACAATGGAGGACCTTCTCACAGCGACATCAGAGGCACCCCAAGGGGCCAGCTTCTGGCCAAAGAAAATTTAGCATAATGCCAAGCTTTCTAACTTTGTTTGTGGATTTAAAAAAATATTATAACTGTATTCTCAATTTTCTTCTGACATAAGTAAATAAAAATAAAATAAATCTGATTGTGTCTTCCTGCCTAGCAGAATGAGGTTGGACTGTATGCCCCTTTGTGGTCTCTTCCAACTCAGGATTCTATTGCCTCCGTGAACCTAATAGTGTCTATGAGGTTTCATGGTCATCTGTCAGGAGGGCTTGGATGGTGTCTTCCTGCCTAGCAGAAGGGGTTTGGGCTGCATAGCCCTGGAGTCTTTTCCAACTCTAGAATTATATGATCCTATTTATTTATTATTTATTATTATTTATTAACTATATTTGTACCCCGCTAGCATCTCCCGAAGGACTCGATGCGGCTTACACGGGCCGAAGCCTCAGAACGCAATACAATAGAAAACATAACACAACAATAACAAAGCAAATCAAAACAATTAAGCAAAATAACAACAATGACAATACATCAGTACATCAAGACACTGTTAAAAACTGGTTCGGCCGGCGCAGTGGGGTACAGGGTTAAAAGTGCTGAGATGGCAGGAGGAACGTAGGATTAAAAGTGTAGTGTGCAGTAACATTGATTGTGCTAAAGTGCTTCTAGGACTTGGGATGGGGATTCCTAATCTGAGAAGGCACATCGGAACAGCCAAGTTTTTAGATTCCTTCTGAAAACTGCTAAAGTAGGGGCCTACAATTTTGGAAACTTGAAGTTGGGTTTGGAGACCACTGCTTTGGCCTATGCTTGTAAGTCTTGCATGCAATGGTGGAAAGATCATAGATAAACCTATCAAAAAGTAAACAAGCAAGCAAGCGCCCCCCTTGCCCCAACTCCTACGGACTCGCTGGCCTGTGAGGACTGCTGCCGGGCCAAGTGACTCTGCTTGGCCTGCCGCTCCATCTTGGCCTCGATCTCCCGCTTCTTCTGGGCAATCAGCTTCTCCTGATGGAGGATGTTCACGTTGGTCTTCATCGACTTGGGCATGGTGACGCCAAACCACCGGCTGACTTTGCCTGGTCAAACAGGAGAAAGGAAAAACATGGGAGGCTCAAGGCTCACAAAAACCACACAAAGAGATTGAGGTTTCCCTCCTATCAACATGGGCATATGTTGCTGAAGGCTTTCATAGCCAGAATCACTGGGTTGCTGTGAGTTTTTCAGGCTGTCTGGCCATGTTCTAGTAGCATTCTCTCCTGACATTTCGCACACAGCTGTGGCTGGCATCTTAAGAGGTCTGTTGGAAATGTACTGGACGGGGTCGCACTCCCCTTGAAGGCGCAGGTTCGCAGCTTGGGTGTGATCCTGGATTCATCGCTGAGCCTGAAGCCCCAGGTCTCGGCGGTGACCAGGGGAGCATTTGCACAGCTTAGGCTCGTGCGCCAGCTGCGCCCGTACCTTGGGAAGTCTGACTTGGCCACGGTAGTCCACGCTCTGGTTACATCCCGTTTAGACTACTGCAACGCTCTCTACGTGGGGTTGCCTTTGAAGACGGCCCGGAAGCTCCAACTGGTCCAACGTGCGGCAGCCATGATACTAACAGGAGCGGGACGCAGGGAGCATACAACCCCCTGCTGTACCAGCTCCACTGGCTGCCGATCTGCTACCGGGCTCAATTCAAGGTGCTGGCATTGGCCTATAAAGCCCTAAACGGTTCCGGCCCAAGATACCTAACTGACCGCCTCTCGACCTATGAGCCCACGAGGACTTTGAGATCTTCCGGGGAGGCTCTGCTCTCGATCCCGCCTGCTTCACAGGCACGGCTGGCGGGGACGAGAGATAGGGCCTTCTCAGTGGTGGCTCCTCGGCTGTGGAACACCCTTCCCGTGGACATCAGACTGGCTCCTTCCCTGATGATATTCCGCAGGAAATTAAAGACCTGGCTGTTTAAGAAGGCGTTCGAACAAGAAGTGCAATGATTGGTAATTGACTATAGGAATGGAACAACGGAAAATTATACTGGATTGTGGTTTTGATGATGAGACGACGCGGAATGGCTTTTGTAGTAATGATGATGTTTTCTGATGATGATGTTTTTTTGTTAATGATGGACTGTGGATTATTTTATATTGTGTCTTGTATTCTGAACCTTGTTCTTTCTATGTTGTACGCCGCTGTGAGTCGCCCCTGGGCTGAGAACAGCGGTATATAAGCAAAGTAAATAAATAAATATATAAATAAGGCAAGTGGCAAGTGCAAGGCATATGAATAGCCTTCCACTGAATAGCCTTGCAGCTTCAAAGCCTCGCTGCTTCCTGTTTGGGGGAAATCCAGTTATTCTGGCCATGAAAGCCTTCGATAACACAATGAGGGAATGGCCTAGACAACAAGGCACTACCTGAGAGAGGAAGCCAGTTGATTTCACGGGAGAAAGGCAAAGGAGCTTCTAGGGAGGCCAGGTGGGCCATTGGGACCCACCTGGATGGAGGTGGGAGGGGCGTGTAGGGGAAAAAGACTCACCAGGCGCTTCTCTGCCTCCTTCCATGTCTCTCAGGAAGTTCCTTTTCTCCCACAATGCCGCACGCGCACCAGCCCAAGCTCTTAATAGAATTATCTGCCAACTCTCGCGAGAAGTCAGCATTTCTTGTCTCCTCCCCCCAAGCCAAGCTCCTTTTGTGTTCGCTGAGATAAACAAGGGACCTCCAGACTACGCATGCGTCGCAGCAGAGCCCGAATTGCGCGTGCGTCCCAGCGCAGCCGTCCTCTCCTCCGATTGGCCAACTCGGCAAGGACGGGTTTTTTCGCAGGCGCAGTGGCCGTCATTCGGGTCTTCGGCTGAGGTAAATCCAAGATGGCGGCGGTGGGAGCTTCGGGAGCGGAGACGGCGGTGTCTTCGGCCTCGACGCCAACGTCGACGTCGTCCGCAGTGGCGGTGGCTCCGTCTTCGTCGGCCTCGGCGCCTCAGCCTCCGGGAGGGAGTAGCGCGACGGCGCCACCTCAGCAGGCCGGCTCCGAGGCCGCTCCAGCCGGGGGCAACAACCCGGGCTCGGGCGGGTCTTCGTCCTCGGCTTCTTCCTCTGGCGGCGGGGCCTCGCCGTCCTCGTCGGAGTCGTGGTACGTGGCGCTGCTGGGCCTGGCCGAGCACTTCCGCACCTCCAGCCCGCCCAAAGTGCGCCTCTGCGTCCACTGCCTCCAAGCCGTGCTGCCACGCAAGCCCCCGGCCCGCGTCGAGGCCCGCACCCACCTCCAGCTCGGCTCCGTCCTTTACCACCACACCCGCAACGGAGAGCAGGCCCGCGGACACCTCGAGAAGGCCGTGAGTATTTCTTTACATGCTTTGCTGTGGGCCGGTCTGGTGATCTGGAAAATAAAGTAACCAGAAAGTGTTGGTTTCTAATATATGTAATTTCTTTGTGCTTGTGGGTAAACAGTATTTCTTGTTCTTTCTTTGTCAGTGTTGATGTGGAGAGTGTCTGGTTTGACTACTCTGGAACATGCAACATATAATTGCCCTTCTTTAGGGGTCCCTTTCAAATCTATGATACTATATCTCTCTGTGTGTTTGTGTGTCAGGAGCGACTTGAGAAACTGCAAGTCGCTTCTGGTGTGAGAGAATTGGCCGTCTGCAAGGACGTTGCCCAGGGGACGCCCGGATGAATTGATGTTTTTATCTTCCTTGTGGGAGGTTTTCTCATGTCCCCGCATGAGGAGCTGGAGTTGATAGAAGGAGCTCATCCGCCTCTCCCCGGAATTTTTTATTTATTTCGTGTTAGGGCAGCCAGTCAATTATATCACATTTCTAACAGAACAAAGCAAACAAACAGACATAATACAAAATTTGTGAGTTTGGTAGTTGATTAAATGTCCTTTGACCAGTATCTGGCCACTTGGAGTGCTTCTGGTGTTGCTGCAAGAAGGTCCTCCATTGTGCATGTGGCAGGGCTCAGGTTGCATTGCAGCAGGTGGTCAGTGGTTTGCTCCTCTCCACATTCGCATGTCGAGGATTCCACTTCGTAGCCCCATTTCTGAAGGTTGGCTCTGCATCTCGTGGTGCCAGAGCGCAGTCTGTTCAGCGCCTTCCAAGTCGCCCAGTCTTCTGTGTGCCCAGGGGGAGTCTCTCATTTGGTATCAGCCATTGGTTGAGGTTCTGGGTTTGAGCCTGCCACTTTTGGACTCTCGCTTGCTGAGGTGTTCCAGCGAGTGTCTCTGTAGATCTTAGAAAATTATGTCTACATTTAAGTCGTTGACATGCTGGCTGCTACTTCCCGGCGGATATCAGGTGGTGCAATACCAGCTAAGCAGTGTAATTTCTCCAGTGGTGTAGGGCGCAGACACCCCGTGATAATGCGGCATGTCTCATTAAGATTTGAACCTCATTAAGATTTGAACCTGCGACCTGTCGGTCTTCAGTCCTGCCGTCACAGGGGTTTAACCCGCTGCGCCACCGGGTTAAACCCCTGTGAATATATATGATTCACCGTGTGTGTGTGAATAATATGTATCTCTATCTGTGGCTTGATGGCTCTTTGTCCGGAGGGCTTTGATAATGTTTTCTTGCCCTGGTGAAGGGAGTTGGACTGGATGGCCTTAAGTATTTTCTGTTGGTCATGGGGGTTCTGTGTGGGAAGTCTGTCCCAATTCTGTCGTTGGTAGGGTTCACAATGCTCTTTGATTGTAGGTAAACTATAAATCCCAGCAACTACAACTCCCAAATGTCAAGGTCTATTTCCCCAAAACTCCATCTGTGTTTATATTTGGGCATATGGAATATTCATGCCAAGTTTGGTCCAGATCCATCATTGTTTGAGTCCACAGTGCTCTATGAATATAGGTGAACTACAACTCCCAAACTCAAGGTCAATGCCCACCAAACCCTTCCAGTATTTTCTCTTGGTTGTGGGAGTCCTGTGTGCCATGTTTGGTTCAATTCCATCATTGGTAGAATTCAGAATGCTCTTTGATTGTAGGTGTACTACTATAAATCCTAGCAACTACAACTCCCAAATGACAAACTCAATTTTTTGAGTGAAGGACATACATTGGATTGTTAGGTGTATGCTGCCCAAATTTGGTGTCAATTCCCCCAGTGATTTTTGAGTTCTGTTAATCCCACAAACGAACATTATAATTTTATTTATATATATTTTACCCCGTTCTATCTCCACCCCGAAGGGGACTCGGAGTGGCTTCCAGTTTGGCAATCATTCAGTCAAACAAGGGGGACTCTGCCATGCAGGAAAAGCACAATCAAAGCACCCCCAACAGATGGCCACCGAGTTTTTGTAATAATAATAACAGGAGCAATCCTAGGGACCATTCAGTCCAACCCCCTTTATTCTGCCATCCAATCAAAGCACCCCCAACAAATGGCCACCTAGCTTTTGCAATAATAATAGTAATAGGAGCAACCCCAGGGACCATCCAGCCTTTGCATTATAATAGTAGTAGGAGCAATCCAAGGGGCCATCCAGCCTTTGAAGTAGTAATAATAATATTTGTTTATTTCCAGCATTTCCTACCCCATCTTACTCAACTCCCAGAGGGGTACTCAGGACAGCTTACACTTGTAATAGGAACAACCCCAGAGGCCATCCAGTCCAACTCCCTTTATTCTGCCATGCAGGAAAAACACAATTAAAGTACACCCAACAGATGGCCACCCAGCCTTTCTAATAATAATAGGAGCAACCCCAGAGGCCGTCCAGCCTTTGCAGTAATAATAAGAATAGTAATAGGAGCACCCCCCCTCCCAACAGATGGCAACCACCCTTTGTAGTAGTAATAATAAGAATAGTAATTGGAACCTGAGGCCATCCAGTACAACCCCCTTTATTCTGCCAATCAGGAAAAGCACAATGAAATCATCCACAACAGATGGCTACCCACCTTTTGTAGTAATAATAGGAGCAACCCCAGGGGCCATACAGTCCAACCCCCTTTATTCTGCCATGCAAGAAAAACACAATCAAAGCACCCCCAACAGATGACCGCCCACCCTTTGTAATAATATTACTAGTAATAGGAGCCATCCAGCCTTTGCAGTAATAATAATAATAGTAGCAGTAATAGGAGCAACCCCTGCGGCCATCCAGTCCAACTCCCTTAATTCTGCCATGCAGGAAAAGCAGAATCAGAGCACCCCCAACAAATGGCAGCCACCTTTGTCACCCCAGCGGCCACCCAGCCTTTAATAATAATAATAGTAGTAATCTTTATTTATTTACCACATTTATATCCTGCCCTCTTCACACTGGAAGGGGACTCAGGACAGCTCACAACAAAGGCACAATTCGATGCCTTGAACACATATAAATTAAAGCAACATATACTTTAAAAATACATTGTTAAAAATATCGCTTAAAACAATTACTTAAAATTGCATAATCCAAAAACATATTCCAGGAGCCTTTCCGATTATCATTTGCATTGTTTATTATTGCTCTAATAGGAATGGTAATAAGAGCAACCCCAGGGACCATTCGGTCCAACCCCCTTCTGCCATGCAGGAAAAGCACAAAGCACTCCTTGAATAGTGGGAGGGAAATAGGGTTTGGGAAGCAAGCAAAGCAAGGGAGAAAGGATCTGGGCAGCGAGGAGGGTTAGGAAAAAAACTTTTGGGAGCGGGGAAGCAAGGAAAAAAGGTTTTGGGTATGTGAAGGGGGAGGGAAAGGAACAGGAAGGGGGAGGGCAAGGAGGGATGAATGGAGCCCCTCAGTATAGATTTATAGAGTTGGAAGAGACCTTGTGGGCAATCCAGTCCAACCCCCTGCGAAGAAGCAGGAAAATCGCATTCAAAGCACCCCCGACAGATAGCCATCCAGTCTCTGTTTAAAAGCCTCCAAAGAAGGAGCCTCCACCACACCACAGTATGCAGAGTACACTTTGAAAACCACTGATATGGATTATAAGCACCAAGGATAGCCGTACCATCATATTTCCCATGTATGGAATTGAGACCTCAACAATGAAGAATGCTGATACGAAAACATTTCAGTTGTATATCTTTGCATTTCAGATTCTTATCTAGTTGTTTCATCGCTGTCTGTCTGAAAGTGCATCTAGATCACAGAATTAATGCAGTTTGATACCAGTAGAATTGCCATGGCTCAGGGCTATGAGATAATGGTGGTTGTAGCTCCTTTTGCATAGATTCCAACAATGTTTTGTTTTTCTCTTTTACAGTGGCTGATATCGCAGCATGTATCCTTTTTTGTCCTAGTCTTAGGAAAGCTGAAATTGTCCCAAATTGACTTTTCACCCAAAATTAGCATGGGATAATTGTACATGAACAAAACACTCACTGATTCCACATGTTGGTCCAAGTTATGAGAAATGTCATTCTTCTGTTTATTTTGGGAATCGCCTCTGCATTATAGTCTCAATATATCCCTTCCTTGGAAGCATTTAAGCAGAAGCTTGTCTCTTTTGAGGCAGATGTTGCATTTACTATCAACACGGATTGGGTGTCCTTCAAAGTCCTTTGCAGTTGTAAAACTGCACAGTTCCAATACAACAAGCAAACAAGAAAATAGTATGTTAGCTTAACATATGAATGCTACCAGATCCCACAGTTTGAAGATGTTAAATTTGAAGCCGCCAGCCTTTTGTCTGAGTTGTATTGCCAAGAGGTAGGTGGAGATAACTTTTTGTGCCAGTAGTTTGTGAGAGTTGTGGTTAAAGGAGGTTTAAACAAATGCCTCATTTCAGTGCAAAATGAGTCAAGACAGTGTTGCTTTGAGTTTTCCAGGCTGTCTGGCCATGTTTCGGGTTGTTGGGGAACTCCTTCACCCACCCGTGGTGGAAGAGACCTTCGATGACCCAGCAACTCGGTGTTGCGAGTTCGCACACCATTTTGCAGGCAAAGTTGCTCAGATACACCTTGAGCTTGACTCCAATTTCATCACAGTGCCAGGGGAGGTGACTGAGGCATCTGCTTGTCCAATTTTGTGGGATTCTTTTAGGCTTGTTCTTCCTGAGACCATGGAGGAGGTCCTTGGTGCTGTGAGGGCGACCATGTCGGCTTTGTATCCTTGCCCGTCTTGGCTAATTAAATCGGCCAGGGATGGGTTGACTGATTGGTTTGTGTTGATCATTAATGCATAATTGGAGCAGGGGTTTTTTCCATCTTGACTAAAACAGGATGTGGTTCGCCCACTCCTTAAAAAGGTCTCCCTTGACCCCACGGTACTGAACAATTACAGACCAATCTCCAACCTCCCTTTTCTGGGCAAGGTTCTGGAGCGGGTGGTCGCCTCCCAGCTTCAGGGTTTTCTAGATGACATCAATTACCTGGATCAGTCACAGTCTGGCTTCAGGCCTGGCCACGGCACCGAGACGGCTTTGGTCACCTTGGTGGATGACCTCCGCAGAGAGCTGGACAGGGGGAGTGTGTTGGTTCTCTTGGACATCTCAGCGGCTTTCGATACCATCGATCATGGTATCCTTCTGGGTCGTCTCTCTGGGATGGGTCTCGGGGGCACGGTTTTGTCGTGGCTCCGGTCCTTCCTGGAGGTCGATCCCAGATGGTGAAGCTGGGAGACGCCTGCTTGGACCCCTGGCCTTTGACCTGTGGGGTCCCGCAAGGCTCCATTCTGTCTCCCATGCTTTTTAACATCTACATGAAACCGCTGGGAGAGGTCATCCGGAGTTTTGGAGTTAGGTGCCACCTCTATGCAGATGACACAGAACTCTACTACTGTTTTCCACCAAACTCCAAGGAAGCCCCTCGGGTGCTGGACGGGTGCCTGGCCACTGTGGCTATCTGGATGAGGATGAACAAGCTGAAGATTAATCCCGACAAGACAGAGGTCCTCCTGGTCGATCGTAAACCGGATCGGGGTATAGGGTGGCAACCTGTGCTGGACGGGGTTACACTCCCCCTGAAGTCACAGGTCCGCAGTTTGGGTGTCCTCCTGGACTCGTCACGCTTGAGGCTCAGGCGTCGGCGGTGGCCGGGAGGACTTTTGCACAATTGAGACTCGTGCGCCAACTGCAACCATACCTCATAAAGGCTGATCTGGCTGGGGTGGTCCATGCCTTGGTCACCTCTAGATTGGACTACTGTAATGCGCTCTACGTGGGGCTGCCCTTGAAAACGGCTTGGAAATTCCAACTGGTCCAACGGTTGGCGGCCAGGCTGTTAACTAGCGCACCTTACAGAGAGAGGTCAACCGTCCTGTCTAAGGAGCTCCATTGGCTGCTGTTTATCTTCCGGTCCCAATTCCAGGTGCAGGTGCTCACCTACAAAGCCCTAAACGGTTTGGGACCCGCCTACCTGCGTGACCGCATCTCCATATATGAACCCACACGTTCCCTTCGATCTTCTGGAGAGGCCCTGCTCACGATCCCACCTTCGGTGCAGACGCGTTTGGTGGGGACGAGGGACAGGGCCTTCTCTGTGGTGGCCCTTAGACTCTGGAACTCTCTCCCCAAGGACATCAGACAAGCCCCAACGTTGGCAATCTTTAGGAAGAGCCTGAAGACCTGGCTGTTCCAGTGTGCCTTTCCAGATTAGAAAACTCCTGGCATCATGTCCCAAATGCACTTTATTAGAGACTAGGATTGTCTGCACATTGCACCTCCCTCCAAAAACCTCTACATACCTCATGTCAAGTTCAGCACTTTTAAATTTATCCATTACACTTGGCCCGGCCTTTAGGTTTTAAATGCGTCATGGTGTCATTGTTTTTAGAGTTTTATTGTTTTGCTTATGAGTTTTACTGTTATATTTGTATGTTGTTGTTTGTTGGCGGCCTTGGCCATTGTAAGCCGCATCGAGTCCTTCGGGAGATTTTGCGGAGTATAAATAAAGTTAATAATAATAATAATGTTCCAGAAAATTCCCTCCTGACATTTCACCCACTTCTATGGCAGGCATTCTCAGAGGTTGTGAGGTCTGTTGAAAGCTAGGTAAGTGAGATTTACATATCTGTGGAATGATGTCCAGGATGGGAGAAAGAACTCTTGTCTGTTGGAGGTAAGTCTGAATGTTGCCATTGGCCAGTTTGATTAGCATTGAATGTCCTTCCAGCTTCAAACCCTGGCTGCTTCCTGCCTGGGGAGATCCTTTGTTGGGAGGTGTTAGCTGGCTCCGATGATATCCTGCCTGGAATTCCCCCCCTTTTTTTAGTGTTTCTCTTTATTTATTGTACTGATTTTAGAGGTTTTTTTAAAATACTGGTAGAGTATTGTTAGAGTAGTCCAGCATTTCTGTGTTCTTAAATCATATGCTGTGTCCAGGTTGGTTCATCAAGTACTCTGCTATGTCTGACTTCTCTGGTTGAATTAGTCTGCAGTGCTTTTTGTGTTCTTTGATTGATGTTTGGGCGCTGCATTTGATGGTCCATATGTAGACTTGTCCACAGCTGCATGATACACGGTAGACTCCTGCAGAGGTGAGAGGATCCCTCTTGAGAATTCAGCCATAGGAGAGCACTTGATGAACCAACCTGGACACAGCATATTATTTGAGAACTCAGAAATGCTGCACCACCCTAACAACCACCATGTGAGACTACACAGATGAGCCACTGAAATCCACAAACGTGGACAGAAAGGATGAAACCATAAAACCATGAAAACGAGCAAAATCTGGCTACCAGTATTTTTAAAAATTCTAAAATAAGGACAGTAAATAAAGAAGAACTCTCAGAAAACAAGGGAATTCCAGACAAAAGTCAATCAGGGCCAGCTAACACCTTCCTAAAAGGATCCCCCAAGCAGGAAGCAGCCAGGCTTTGAAGCTGCAAGGCCATTAAATGCTAATCAAGGTGGTCAATTGCAACATTCACACCTACCTTAAGCAGACAAGAGTTCTTTCTCCCTCCCTGGATATTATTCCACAGGTATATAAACGTCACTTGCCTAGTTTCCAACAGATCTCACAACCTCTGAGGATGCCTGCCATAGATGCAGCCAAAACATCAGGAAAGAATGCTTCTGGAACTTGGCCAGGCAGTCTGGAAAACTCACAGGAATTCAGTGATTCCAGCCATGAAAACCTTCAACAACACATTTTGTCTAGACCATTTTGTCTAGTTAGCCAGCTTACTTATATGTTAGAATGCAAGTGCAATTAAGTCATCAAAATAATCTTTCCTGCACCTGCTACATTTGTTCAAGGCATTAACACAGTCATGTTTTCTTTTCTATTAGCCTTGAGGTTCCCACCTCTTCCAGGTTTTGTTAGCACAGATTAATTTTTGTTGCGTTTCAGAACTCTGTGGATACTGCAAAGCCGCTGCTGCGTAAAGCCATCCAAATCTCCCAGCAGACTCCCTACTGGCACTGCCGCCTCCTGTTTCAACTTGCGGTAAGTGTATTGTAGGCATTTGCTGAAGTGGCTAAAGCACCACGAAAATGCTGGAACCTTCTAAGAAAATTAGGAAAATTATTCAAATGTATCCTTGTCTTTCTTAATCAGCAACTTCACACACTGGAAAAGGATTTGGTCTCTGCCTGTGATCTTCTCGGGGTCGGAGCAGAGTATGCCCGTGTGGTAGGATCAGAATATACCCGGTACGTGGAATCTTGGTTTTTCTATCTGTAGGGAGTAGACTTAGAGAATTCTAGAATGATGTCTGAATACCTTGAACTCTCTCTCCTGATTTCCTACTAGTTTCATGGAGAGATCTGTATCAGGATTTGCTGGGAATTGTGTGAAGGTTTGAATTAGCACCCCCTACCAATATGGAAGGAATATTGCTAGTTGTCTGTGTGTGTTCATGCTTCCTAACTTGGCATCACATGTCTATGTCCTTTTGAGATTTCATACCACAGGAGATCTATATTTTCCTTGTTAATACTTGGGTTAAAACACAGGAACCAGACTCTCAGTTGGTGGGAATATACTGCATTCCTGATAAGTCGCATTTGCCTTTTAGGATCTTAATATGCAGTCTTTTCTTCCAGAGCACTGTTTCTCCTGAGCAAAGGCATGGTAAGTCTCCTGTGCCTCTTTTGTTACACTGGTGAAAAGCACAATGAGCCATTGCCATCCTCCATTGTAAAAATTCTTATTGTGTCAGTTAGAACATATAGAAAAACCACAAAGTTAAAAACTTGACAATATACTAAATGTCCTTTGACTAGAAGCTGGCCATTTGGAGTGCCTCTGGTGTGACAGTAAAAAGGTCCTCCATTGTGCATTTGGCAGGGCTCAGGCTGCATTGTAGTAGGTGGTCTGTGGTTTGCTCTTCTCCACACTCGCATGTCATGGACTCCACTTTGTAGCCCCATTTCTTAAGGTTGGCTCTGCATCTCGTGGTGCCAGAGTGCAGTCTGTTATTGCCTTCCAAGTTGTCCAGTCTTCTGTGTACCCAGGAGGGAGTTTCTCATCCAGTCTCAGCCACTGATTGATGTTTTGGGTTTTTTCCTGCCACGTTTGGACTTTCACTTGCTGAGGTGTTCCAACGAGTATCTCTGTCGATCTTAGGAAGCTGTTTCTTGATTTAAGGTGTTGGCGTGCTGGCTGACATCCGAACAAGGGGTGGGCCGGAAATGTCATTGCCTTAGTCCTTTCATTACTGGCTGCTACTTTCCAAAGGATGTCAGGTGGTGCAATACCGGCTAAACAGTATAATTTCTTCAGTCGCGTAGGGCGTAGACATCCTGTGATAATGCGGCATGTCTCATTTCGAGGCACATCCATTGTTTTAACATGGTGAGTTGTATTCCACACTGGGCATGCGTATTGAGCAGCAGAGTAGCAAAGCACGCCAGGGCAGATGTTTTTACTGTATCTGGTTGTGATCCCCAGGTTGTGTCAGTCAGCTTTCGTACGACATAATTTTTAGCACCCACTTTTTGCTTGATATTCAAGCAGTGCTTCTTGTATGTCATAGCATGGTCCAGAGTGACTCCCAGGTATGTTGGTGTGCTGCAATGCTCCATTGGGATTCCTTCCCAGGTAACACTCAGGGCTCATTGTAATTTTATTTAATTTTTATTAAATATCAGTAAAGGGGACCCTGAAACCTCCTTGGAGCATCAGTTGATAGTTATGAGACAGGAGCCATAAGGCTACAGTAATTAATTAATACATCTAAACCACTGTTTCCCAACTTTTTTTGACCGGTGACCACTTTGTCCAGGGACCATTCTCCAACATTTTCTACCAAAAGGGTTACAAATCAGTTTTTGGTCAACTTCAGATTTGGTTTGATTATTTCAGGTGCTGATTCAGAAAATTGCATCGGATAGAGCACATCAGTTCTAGTTTCTGATACAGAACATATGCCATTCAGTAGTCGCCATCTGCTTGCCCGCATATTTAATAATCTAGAGCTGATGTGGTCTATCCAATGCTATTTTCTGAATCAGTACCCCAAATAAACCCAGGAACAGGCCTAAAAATGAAGATACCAAGATACTTTTTTTTTGTTGAGCTGTGTTATTATCCATGGATTTTGTTAACTCTCGTGTTAAAAAAAAAGGAGGAGAGGGGGCTGAGGTTGAAAAAAAATACAAAAAGTGGAGTGCGAGACAAAAAACTATCCCTAATGAGAGTGAAGGGAAAGGGGGCCAGGGGACAGTTCCACCTTGTCTCCTGCATATGTCATCAGCTAGGGACCCATCCCCCTGCCACCAACTGCCGCTCTGGGACAAAGTGAAGACAGGAGAGGCCAGGGGACAGCTCCATCTTGTCTCCTGCATATGTCATCAGCTGGGGACCCCTCCCCCCCACCACCAACTGCCGCTCTGGGCTAGAGAGAGGGGAGGCCAGGCGACAGTTCCACCTTGTCTCCTATGCTATGCTAATAATATAATATAATATCATACATTGTATTTACGTATAATATTTATAATATTATAATGTAATGCAATATAATACTAATAATATGATATTATAATTATATATTATATTGCATGTAATCTTACTAATATTACAATATAATGGTATAGTGCAATATAGTAACATTTAATACTGATATTTTACTCTGCTAATAATATATTGTATGTGTGTGTGTATATATATATATATATATATATATATATGTATGTATGTATGTATTCTAAGCTGCTCTAAGTCCCCTTCGGGGTGAGAAGGGCGGCATATAAATGTCATAAATAAATGAATGACTGAATGATGGCTTTAATAAGAATAACAACAATAATTTTGGGGGACTAGACAAAGTCTTACAAATGGCTGCTTTCTGATAAAACTCTTGTGTTTGACAATGGGTGCTAATAATAATAACTTTGGGGGACTCTCTCGCTCCCTGTGTATGCTGCCAGGTGAGCCTTCTCCACCCTGGTCTGGTAATCCTCCCAAGGCCAAGAAAGCACTGGCAAGAACAACACGCTGGCATATCCTTCCTTCTCGTCTCCTCCTTGCAATTTCCCTGCATGTCTTGTGGACCTTATTTTAGGTCTCGCGGCCCACGGGTTGGGAACCACTGATCTAAGCAATGCCTTCAGTCATCTGTATTTTCAACATTCCATGTGTTTCAGAGGCCCAGATTTCAAATAGAGAAACATGGAATTGTTTCAAGGTGTGCTGAGTTGTGATACGCTTAGGAGAAAGTTCAGATTCCTTGAAGTTGGGAATGGAGATGCATTGGACATGCCTTCAATGCACTTCCAAGCTCACTGGTTTGTTTCCTTTTCTCACAGCTGCTTCTCATGGAGCGGAAGCTGCAGGAGGTCCACCCGCTCCTCACGCTTTGTGGGCAGATAGTTGAGAACTGGCAGGGGAACCCCATCCAGAAGGAGTCGCTGCGGGTGTTCTTTCTGGTGCTGCAGGTAACACATTACCTGGACGCTGGACAGGTGAGTGGATGGGACTGAGGCCCAAATAATTTCCTCATGCATTGATTTGGAGGTGGGAGGAGTCTCTTTGCTTAATGGGTTGGACATAGTTTGATAATGATGAATGTGGTTTACTCTGAGCTGCTCTGATCTTCAGTCAAAAGGGAGAAAAGGATGGTAGAGAAATGGTTGGCTCTGATTTCACTTGAAGGGGAGGTTGTGCTTTCAAATGGCAAAGACATGCCCCACTTATCTCATGAAGTTCTTTAGAATGTCTTCTACATTCTGTCAATTTTAATGTACTTTCAAGTTGTTTCCAACTGACAACCACCCTAAGGCAATCCTATCCTAGTTCTCTTGACAAGATTGGTTCAATTGGAGATCTTTGCTTTGAAGCCGACAAGGTTATTTCGTGTCAAAAGCATTGTATGAATAAGCTTAAAGCTGATAAAAATAGAAGGAGGCCAAACAGCTAAATAATTTTTGACCAAAACTGGGCAACAGTGACTTCATTGTCTGTATCTTTAAACAGTTTTTCCCTTGTGCATGAGGCAGGGCATTGTGGGCAAGCATACAGGTGCAGAGTTGTTTGTTCTGCTCCACAGTCACACAAGGTGGAGGATTCTTCTYGACAGTGCCATTTTGCCAGGTTYCCTTTTGATCTGCRCACTCTGCTTGTGAGTCTGTTCAGGGACTTCCAAGTTGACCATTCTTGGTTTGCCCCAGAGGAAGACCCTCGTGGGGGGGGGGGGCATCCAATTGGGATTTCCTGGGTTAGCTGCCCAGAGTGGTACTCTTTCTGTCACTGGGGGAACATTAAAGGAATGCTGGTTCTCATGCAACCTTTCCTTGATTTGAGTCTACTGAGAGCTTTACTGTGGGTAGCTTTCACAGTGTTCATCCTTATTTCTCTCGCAATTGGCAGCAACTTACCATCGCACATTGGGGGGGTGGAGTGGGATAATCCCAGTTAGCTTGTAGACTCTTATCAACAGGTGTTGGTTTAAGACATRCTGYGATTATTTTGCATGTCTTATTCGGTGCTATATTCACCTGCTTCATGTAGGCACACTTTTGCCAAATGGCAGGCATACTCAGCTGTTGAGTCAGACAGGGCCAGGGCTGATGTTCTTATCAATCTGCACCTCATGCGCTGCTAGTAAGTTTCCACAGGATGTTACTGCGTGCAGCTACTTTATGCTTGGTGTTCTCACAGTGTTTCCTAAATATTAGTGTTCTATCTAAGGTGACGCCGATATCTTTAGGATTGAAACAGTGTTTGAGCTCTTGTCCTTCCCAGGTAACCTTCAGTTTCCTGTTGGCTTACTTAGATGGGAAGCACACCATTGTGACTTGGCAAGGTTAGGCTTCAGGTAGTATCTTTGTAAAGCTGAAGAGATCTTTCAGGCATTAAGTTGGTTCTCAACTGTTTAAAAGTGTTTTTAGGCTAAGTTCATCGGCGTATATAAAGCTCTTTGTGGGTGGTGGCTGTGGCTGATAGATAGTGCAGATGTTCAGAGCCCCTGGTGGTGCAATGGGTTAAACCCTTGTGCTGGCAGGACTGAAGATCAACAGGTCGGAGGTTCGAATCAGGGGAGAGCGCGGGTGAGCTCCCTCTGTCAGCTCCAGCTCCACATGCGGGGACATGAGAGAAACCTCTCACAAGGATGGTAAAACATCAAAACGTCCGGACATCTCCTGGGCAATGTCCTTGCTGACAGCCAATTCTCTCACACCAGAAGTGACTTGCAGTTTCTCAAGTCGCTCCTGACACGGAAAAAAAAGGAAAGATGTTAAACAAGGTCAGTTCAAGAACGCTGCCTTGAGGTAGACCATTCTTTTGCCTCCTCTGTCTACTTTTTCTGCCTATGTGGTGATGGCCACATAGAAGCTGCAGTTTTGTAGGAGGCTCTGGACAATTTTTGTAAAATCATAGTCCTGGGTGATATGGTAGATGTTATGCAACAATTTCCTATGTTGCACTGTGTCATAGGCTGCCTTAAGGTCCACAAAAACTGTTTCAGTAATGCAGCCTTTCTCATAGCCTTCCTCAATATACTTGGTCAAGTTAAGAATTTGAGCTGTACAGTTTTTCCCTGTTCTGAAGCCTGCTTGTTGTGCAATAAGCTGGGGTTCAATAACAGCTGTGAAGGTGTAATTTGCCCAAAGTCAGAGTAGGGATTCGAACTCTGGCTTCTAAGTCTCAGATCACTAGACTACTATAGGATAATATCTGTGGTGTTTCTGGTATACAAAGAAGTTTGTATACCTTGTCAGTCCTTTTGTTTGGGGAACAAGCCCTGAAAATACTGACAAATGGTGTTTTAATGGGTGGAATTTTGGGCTGTTGATTTACTTCAGTTTGGGCATATGAAGTAAGAGGACAGGTGTCGGAACCACCATCTCCGGCTTATACGCTGGGGAGCAAGTGCGGCTTCATGGAGGAGCGTTTCTCTTCCTGAAGCACTTCCTTCTCTTTTTGTCAGGTGAAAAGTGTCAAGCCCTGCCTGAAGCAACTCCAGCAGTGCATCCAAACCATCTCCACCCTCCATGATGATGAGATCCTTCCCAGCAATCCTGCTGATCTCTTCCACTGGCTGCCCAAGGAGCATATGTGTGTGCTGGTTTACCTGGTAAGCCACTGTATTTGGTCGGTCTGTGCATTGAGTATATCAGATGGGACTACTGCATTGTCATTTACCAGCAAAGGCCAATGTATGATCCATGGATTCGAGACTTCCACTGTGCTGGGTGAAGCCCTTTTGTTGCTGAGTCTTCCTGGTGTTCTCCTCCAGGTCACGGTGATGCATTCCATGCAGGCTGGCTATTTGGAGAAGGCGCAGAAGTACACTGACAAAGCACTGATGCAGCTGGAGAAACTAAAAAGTGAGCAACAGAAACGTTTTCTGTGCCTTTGTGGGGATTTGGTGCTTGAGTGCTTCCTTTAAATAGTAGACTTCCCTCATTACGATCCCCATAATTTCTCACATTCCCATCGCATTGCTACTGATCTTAACACAGGACCTTTTTAAACTGAGCATTTTTCATCTTCAAAAATCAAGAAGTTGGTTCTTTTTAAATAAAAATTACAGTACTTACATTGACTTGTAGATGAATCAGTTCTATTTTAGAGGTTATGTATTACATACAATAATTACATGTATGAATTACTATGTGCCATAATAACAATATAACACACACATATACATATAATATATTCAATTATAACGTATATAATTATAATGTAATGATAAAATAACATATTAATTATATAATGTAATAATAATATAACACAGGCATATATGAATATAATATATTCAAATATAACATATATAATATATAAATTGATATAATATTAAAATGTATAATAATATAAAACAGATATATAAATATATTCTATACTAACATATATAATATATTGATTATAATATATATTATAATATATTATAAATCAGGAGACGCTTACTTCTTGGGAGGAGAGCAATGTCCAGTCTCGATAAGATAGTGAAGAGTAGAGACATCACACTGGCAACGAAGATACGCATAGTATAAAAGCAATGGTATTCCCCGTAGTCACCTACAGATGTGAGAGCCCGACTGCTCATTGGAGGGAAGGATAGTAGAGGCAAAGATGAAGTCCTTTGGCCACATCATGAGAAGACAGGAAAGGTTAGAGAAGACAATGATGCTGGGGAAAATGGAAGGAAAAAAGGAAGAGGGGCCGACCAAGGGCAAGATGGATGGATGGCATCCTTGAAGTGACTGGCTTGACCTTGAAGGAGCTGGGGGTGATGATGGCCGACAGGGAGCTCTGGCGTGGGATGGTCCATGAGGTCACGAAGAGTCAGAAACGACTGAACGAATGAACATCAAATATATTATACGTTACTGTGGAGTATGATTTTGGAACTATGTGCTTTGTTTTTAACTGCTTATTTAAATGTATTTAAATGCCCAATGTAATTTGTATGGGGTTTGTTTATGTCTTAATGTGGCATTGAATTATTGCATATTTGGAAGCCACGCTGAGTCCCCTTTGGGGTTGAGATAGAACGGGGTAAAAATACAGTAAATAAATGAATAAAAAGACACAAAAGCACTCTGACCCCTTCCACACTCACTGTAGTTAAGAAGACAATCTAATTAATAGTCAATATATTAATCTTACCATTACAGACTTGGCTAAATCCAAATTGCCAGAGATACTGATATCCATGACCTCAGGTTGTTAGACATCATTAGATTTCTTATGGCTCAAAAAGTCTTTCAGAAAATCTGAAATTGATTTGTTTTTTGTAATCAGTCAACAACTGATTCTTCAATTGTCCTGGATTTGAGCAAACATTCTTGTGGCTTTGAACGTGTGTGTGTGTGTGTTCAAAGAATCTGTGTTTTCTGTCCCAGTTCCTTATCGAGAACCCCACTTTATTTTTCTCATTCAGTGCTGGACTGCAGCCCAATCTTATCATCCTTTCAAGTGATCCTGTTGGAGCACATCATCATGTGTCGCCTTGTCACAGGTCACAAAGCAACCGCCTTGCAGGAGGTAAATCTATTTTTATCCATAATAAAAGTGAAAATATGTCTGTGTGTATATGACTGGTGTGCCCACTTTCACAGGCAGGCTCCCACTTCCACAAATAGTTTTGGCTCCCACTACTCAAGATACACCAATGGCCTTTCCTCCAATGACATCGCAGGTTATAGTGAATGCCATGAAGATGTCCAAGAGGCCCTGCCAGTGTCCTTCACAAACACCATCCTGCCCACCACCCAAGTGAAGGCTTGCCTTTCATCCTAGATTATATGTTTCTTCTGCGTGGTACTGTGAAATCCACACCTGTGGTATTTCCCTGCGTCCACGCAGCTGACTCGG